CTTTAATAAAAAAGAAGGCTTATGAATTTTTATTCGATACTACATATATGATTTACCTCACACTAAAAACACCAGTTGATGCAATACTCACATCGCACAAGGTGTTAAAGAAATTTGTAGTATCAGGATATTTGACAAAGTATGATTCCCCCAAGGATGTAGATATGAAACACAATCCAAAGCATAAAGCATATATAGTTGAATATATCACTAAGGATGGTAGTTTTGTAGTTGACTGATTAAAGTTTAGATTTGTGGCTTTCTATCTCTACTTTTAGGCTTTCTAATTTTAGGCAATCTTCTCTTTTCTTATATCTTCGGCAGCTAAGAATTTCTCTTTCAAGTCAATATCAAATTGATATTTAAACAAAACATCTGAATCTTTTATAACTAAAGAGGATATCCCCTTATATCTGTCAATATCTCTTTATACCCACACTATTTCTAACATTGAAAACAACTAAATAAATTGGTCATACTATTGCAAGTATTAATTGTGAAACTTTACAGTGATTAACAATAACAGAAAACCTATTATCAATATAGGAATCATCAAAGATAACCATTTTTCCTTAACAGTAACAGATCTTTACACAGAATAAGAAAGCATATCCTAATTTACTATTGTTAATTAATCATAAAAAGTCTGATAATTTCCAAATAAATACACAAAAAATCCTGAAGTTGGATCTAAGGAAGTAAAGATGTTTAAATAATCCAGCAATACAAATTAATAAGCTGCTTCTAAAGAAAGATAGATTGCCTCTCTTGCAGATACATTTCTATTAGATGTAGTTGTCTATTCGGATTACATTATAGTGAAATTCTTATCCTAAAAAAATGGATTTAAATATTGATTTGATAATTGCTTTATATAACTTGACTTTAATTCTTCATAATTATAAGTTATATCATTTTTAGCATATTCTAATTTTTAAGCTGCTGTTGAGGCATTCATCATACCAATCATATTCAAAATTGCATAAAACATCACAGCATTTTAGGCCACAATGTAATTGTCAATTGGTGCTACAATATTCGATTTTATTTGAACCATATCTAGTTCTTATAAGAAACGATTCAAATCATCAGATGAAAATATTATTTAGACAATATAGAAAACAATGAATAGCACAAACAATACTGTCAAAAATGTTCTAGCTAAAAAATAATTTTTCGAAAATTTCTCAGAAGTTATCAATTTCTAAATCAAATCATATTTTTTAGAATATTTTGACTTTTTAAAAGCTGCTACTGAACTTACTTAGGATCCAATATCATCAATTTATACAATATTCTAATCCTATTCTTCCAATTACATTTGCATTTTTATATTTTCTTACAACTCTTGATCAATATCTTCCATTTATAACTTATCTATCTAATTTTTATTTTTTATTTCATTTTCATTTTCATTCTCGTCTTCTTCCATACTTTCTTCATCTGCATTTGATGATACATCCTTTTAATCAACAGCCAAAAAAAATTATTGCTTTGTTTCATGATACCTTTTATTATTTTCATATAGCCCCCCTTCAATAGATTTTGCATCTATCAATTTTTCCCCAGCATCTTTAGGACTCACCAAAGACACATTTGGATAAAATGATTAACTTTAATTCTTTGAATTTTATAAGATTCTTCTGCCAAATTAACCATCACTCTCTGATTAATCTTAATCAAGGTTCATAATTTAATTTTGATTTTCTTATTAATCAAATTCCAAAGCTCTTGGGACGTTAGCATAATATTCATCCTATTCTTAAAATTCTAAATCTTCAAAGTCATCATCCTAAAATTAAGTTAAAGATGCTCCAGGTGTGGGAGTAATGACTTCTGTTTGAAATGGCGTGCTACAGGTTTTCTGATATCTTTTTGCCTCTCTTATCTCAACAATTACATAATTACTCAATGTATCTTGTTTTAATTTTCTATTGTGAAATATTGCTTCCACAACAAATTACTAACTATTTGATTCAGTGTCCCAAGTTTATTTTGAATTCTTAAGTAAGCAATCAACTTCAGGCAAAATCATATGAACTTAATATTCACTCTAATCCATTAGATCCTATTCAAAATCATCATTATCTTACTAAATTTTAGAGCCATTGATTTCCATAATCATTTATAATTTAGGAAAAACTTTTGATAAAGGTTATTTATAGAGAGCATCCATTAATTAAGTAATTAACTTTACTGGATAGCCAATTTTATTAGCAAAGTTTTTGCTTACACTCTAAATTCTATTATTATTACAACAAAATATAAATGCATTTTAGCTATCCTTATCTTAGAAAAAACAAGCAAATGTTAAATCCTATAGATTACTTACATTAATATCAAAGAAAAAGTCAATAGCTTTGATAAATTTCTTTTGATATCTGCAGTAATTCTAATTTATTAATCGAAAGAATTTTGAATAACCAGAGGATAAAAACTGTGATACAAATCTCGAATGAATTTAATCAAAATTATTTGGAAGAAGATGATCTATAGTTTTAATTTATTTAAATTTCTCCTAATTGTATCCAAAAAATTCATGGATTTGATTGGAGTACTGACGAATTTATAATTTATGTGATTTTTCATCAAATCCCACAATTATGTAGTCTAATTAACTTGAAAACATATCAAAATTAATTTATGATTGCATTTTAAATAGTTTTTCATCAGATATAGATGTTATTGTTGCTAATTTGTACGCTTAAAAATAATTATTCATTACTTCTGACTAATAAAATGCATTGAGTGCTTGCATTTTCCTACCTTTTAATAAACATAAATATACATACTTGGAAACTAGAAATAGAGTTTTAGTAGTTCATCTTCAAGTTAAGTTAATTTTGTAATCATTTATTTCGCTGCATTAAACAAATTAAAATTAGAATTTAGCAAAGTTAAGTTAACAAAGAAATCCTTTTTTTTATTAATCATTTTTATAATCTTATTTTTCAAATTTTTATTGCTATCCTCTGATTTTAAAAAGAGTTTAACAGCATGTTCGAGATTATCAGATAATATTTAATTGCTTTATTTACCTAATCCAGTACTCATAGTCTTTTTTATTAATTCTTAAGTCAAAACCAATCTCTATTTATATATAAATCCCATATTCTAGATCTTTATGTGAATCATATCATCAGGTTTGCTATCAACTTTTGATTTTTAAGCAGAGCTGTGTTATTGGTCCAAACTATTGCTGGATTCAGCCTTCTAGCTTTCAGCTTTAGCAACCAATACTTTACTGAATTATGATGAACTATAAAATATTTACTTTATAATTACAAGTTTTCACTCTCTTAATACACTACAAGATTTGATTATTAAAATGCTCTTGTACTCAATCCTAAATAATGAATTAATGATAGATAGTGCAAAAAGTATAATTATTTATTTGATTATTTTTTTAGCTTATTAATTGTTAAATTAAAGTAGTTAACTTAATCTTTTAAATATAGATTTATAATTTACTCAAAAGTTAATTATTGTTGAGTACACAAACATTTTGGCGTTGAACAATGCGTTAAGTGAGTTTGTTAGAAATAGATAATTTAGATAATTTTCTAATTATCATGCAAATAAGAATTTTTTATTTCTCCAAACTCATCAATTATTGAAGCAATTTTGTACAACATTAAGTAACTAGCCATAATTTGATTATTATTTAAGATTATTCTATAGTGAAGATTTTTATAGAGAATAATTGGAACTGAGATTGCAAGTGGAATAATTATTAGAATTAAAATAGTCTCATAATCCTTATATTGAGATTTAAATTATGAAAGTTGAATAAGCATCAATATTAGAGACATTGAAAATTAAAAGCATTCCGAGAACAATTCAATGATGCATCGTCTATAAATGTTTTAAAATGTTGTAAAAATGCTGTAAATGTTAAATGATGATTTAATTAATAAAATTGTAACAATTAAGTAGAATTTTAATACTGTATCATTACTTTCAAACTGATTTATGCAAACAATTAAAATTAAGTAGATTGGATTTAAATAATGATTAAAGGATTGCGATAACATATTTAGATTTCTGACTTTTATGTGATTGGATTATTGGATGCAAAATAAGTAAAAAAGCATATTCAATATGATCATAATAAAACAGATAACAGCCATCGGTATAGCAAACAGATTTAAATATTACTTTTATGAATAATAATAAATAGAGGAGGTAGCAAATTCTAATTAAGGAATAAAAATTAAATAGTATAACAATCCTTGTTAATATGAATACATTGTTAGTATTAATTAAAAAAATCTATTTTATTCTAAAAGGATCTCTGACATTCTCTTTTATTTTTTACATTTTACAAAACATATGAAAATATAGAATATCATGACCTCATATGATATTAAAAGCGCTAAAGGGATAATAAATGAAAAAGCACCAAAGTTTTTAAACATTTTTACATAAGGCCTTGTAAAGGTTGAAATTTCAATAAAGAAATTCTTGAATCCATTATGCCCTATATTTTGAAAGTAGTAATTCTCAAAAGCAAAACTTAATTGTTAAAATGAGGAAAGTATAATGATAGCATATTAGAGAGCTTTATTGATGTGAACCATCTCATCATCCATATATATCTTTAATTATAAAACAAAAGAAACGTATAGGGTTTTGTAATTCACTTTCTCTTTCTCTGACTTTTTTTTCTTGATTTACATTGTGCTTTATTTATGAAATATTGAATTAATTTCTAAATATATACATTAAACTTAAAAACTTAATAAAATTCAAATGACAATTTCATTTTTTAAACCCATTCAGAAATGTCGTATTATTGTAACGATCAACAAAGAAAAGCTAGTTCCAATGGAAAGGAAATAAATCAGACAAAATTGAAAAAATAACATTATCTTGTAATTTTATTTCTGAAAAAACCAAACCATGCATTTAACTCAATTGATTTTCTTCTCTGTTATTAATTAGATGATAATTTGCAATAAATAATCAATTTAATAATTTTATGTATTAATAATAAAGAAATGAAATAACACCACAAACAAAGGGTACACATATTAAAAATTTCTAGGGATATCCAATAGATGAGCCTGTTTTATAAGCTGTGATGAGTGTGGCTTAAATATAAAACCAATATCCAAAAATGTCTGATTTCAATAAAGCAATAAATCTTAATTCAATTTCTAAAAAAGCAATATTTTTGATATTAAGAAGTGCAAGCTTAGATAATATTCATAAAGGCATGAAATACGGAGTGTGGACTAGGTATTGTATGCTTCTAAATCTAATAGCACTCCAAAATCGAATGCTAGGATTGATGAGCTGTTTAAGGAATCAGAGGAAGTTTATTTAATATATTCAGTTGTAGGCACTAAGGCCTTTTAAGCATGCGCAAAATTACTTGGTCCTTTTGACCCAACAGCTACATTTCTTTATTGGGATGAACCATTGAAATGGTTTGGCTCATTTTAAATTAAATGCGTATTAGCAATATCTTAATTTAGTTATTCTTGAATGAGTTGAAATAGAAGACACTTGATGAAAAATAACCAGCTCATCTAGGTTCAATAGTTTTAACAGAACAAACCGATTGCACTGAAATTACACATGGATTGGGAATGTTTGTACTTTAATGTTTTAAGGAATAACAAGAAGATGAAACAAACGTTAATGTCTTGCTCCAACAATTTTAAAATATGGATAGGAGAGAAGTATTAATCGATATTGAAATAAGGATTAAATCAAATAACAAAGAGATCTTGATTAGAATTTCTTGACCCAACAATCTCATGAGTAACAGCTATTTGAAAAATCTCCATTTGAATACAAAAACTATCATAAGAGATAGAATTAGTAGAGATGGCAAAACAAATAGGCAGATCAAATGATGTACATGCGAGGTATTTTAAATATGAAATTGAATTTTAGCTTATTATTCTGCTAATTAATAGTATGGAGGTTCATAGTATTAAGGTCAAAATCAATAAATGTACAATTAATATAGGTATTAAATATTTTAATATTAAAGAAATGATAATAAACAATAATATAATAATAATTATGATTATCAATTCTATTATCCATAATAATAATACTAATAAAATAATGGCTAATTTAAATATGGATATGATTAATAGTAGTATAACTAAAATCCTAATTATTAAAGATAACCATAAAAGTATCAAAAGAAATATTATAATAATTACCAATAAAATAATTTCTAATAAGGCAATTATCAATAAAATAATTATCAATAAAATAATTATTAGTAAAATACTAATTATTCTGGCAATCACCAAAAATATTAAAAATAAAATGATGAATAGTCTGTAAATAACTAAGACTAATAGTTTTGAGTTATGAATATTATTTTCATTAAGAATAAATATGCATTAATTTAAATTCATTAAATTAACAAATGAATTGTCTTATAAAAACTTTGCTTATGGTTTAACAGGTATTAAATTAATTGGCTTGTAATATTAAATTTAATGATTATATGAAAATATTCATTTTTTTTTCTTTAGACTCTCCAAAGCCATTTCTCTGAGTGCTTTTTAGGTTAATAATTTATTATATTGCTGTTATTATGATTCTTATTTTAACAATTCGTCATCATTAAATTATTTATTGGATCCTTTAAACTCTTTGAGTGGAATTTCATCTAAAAGTAAAGTACTTTGAGCAATGCTTTAGTTTAATACAATTTTTTCTCTAAAATATGTATACAATTTTTGTACTTAGCAACAGCAAGATCAATGAATCTTTCAAGATCTTATAAATATTTTTCTAAAGAACTTTCGTTGAGATTAAAAGATAATTTATAATCTAAATGTGCAGTTGGATCAGATGCCTTAATGAGATAAAAATATGAATTACCAATTATGTCTAAGATAATTCGATTAAAGCATCTTTTAGAGTAGGTGCAATTTCCTCCATTTGTTTTCTGAGAGTGTTTATTTCTTCCTATCTTTTCTTAATGATCAATTCATTTTTTTTTCTGTGTCTTTCAGCCTATGGTGTTGCCATAAGCAATCTCTTCTTGCTTTCATTTTCTACTCTTTGAGAATCTATTTTTTTTTTTAAATCTTGGTTTTAATCTTGCAATTGATCAATTTATTATGATAAGATGTCTACATAATTATAAAGAGAATAGTTTTATTCTTCGCTTTTTATAAATGTATTCATGATTTCTTCAATGTCTTGAATACCTGAGGCTTCTTTTATTTGATTGAATGCATCTTCAATGACTTTCATATTTTTCCAATATGTATCAATCAATTTAACTTTTTCCTTGTTATTAGAAATCAACTTTTTTAATCTAAGCTTCAAAGTAGAAGCTGTGTCAATATTGGCTGCCTTCTCTTTTCTTTATCCCAAGTTATCTAAATCGTGCTTTTTCTTCTCTTCCATAACTTCCTTTTTCAATCTGTCGAATTACTCCACATACTTTTCTTTTTCTTAATCATTTTTTTTCTTCATTTCAGCTATAGTTTCCTTCTTTTTCTGAGCTTATAGTTCGTTTGAATTTCGAAAAACTTCATTTGCGACAGTTTCATTTTCTATATTCAATAATTCTTCTTGTAAATCTTGATGAATATTTATGTATTAATGTCTTTCCTTTCTCAACATATTGATCTATTTTTTCAATTCAAAATTATGGGTTTATGATTCATTGTATTTAAGTATTGATTATTCTAAAGCATTTTATAAATTTTTTATTTTATTTAATTATTGCTTAGCAGCTGGCAAAGTTTAATCGTGTTATATCTAGAATTATTTAGTATGACAATACTTTTTTTATTTATTCCTTCTTTTGTTACCATTCCTTTTTGGTTGACACCCAAGTTTCCTCAATATTGTAATGATGTTTTTTATCTTGCTCCACTTTTCTAATGTAGTTCTCACTCTCCCTCTATAACGAAAGTACTTATGATTCGTGGAGAATGCTTTAAGTCTAAGAAACGTTAGAATTAGGAGCTGAATTATATCCAAAAAACATTTAATAAATAAATATTAATTATATAAACAAAACCATAGTATTACAGTAATTTAAAATAATATCATATACATAAAAGGACATAATTAGTAATAGAATATTAAAAGGCAATGGCTACCATTTATAACAACCAGGTTTGGATGCCTTTCTTCTGCCTTATTAAAGTTTTACAGTTATATTATAATACTTAAGAAAATTTCTGAAATTTTCATACATATGCACCATTATTCCTATATTATTTTTGAAGAAAAGAAACAAAGATCGTAGCAATTCTTGGTTTCTCTGTAGTTCTTTCAATACCATAAAATATACTCAAAAACAGTATTTAAGTCTTTATTTTTTCTCCCACTTTAATAGTGATCATTTGATTAACAATGAACTCTATAAAAAGATTGCGATGACCCTTGGGAGGTTTATTTATTTAAACGGGATTTAATGAAGAACATTTAATGGTACTTAAATCATTTTTGAATCTGATGTAAGAGGATTTGATATGAGTCTTTAAATAAATTACAAAGCTGTGTATAATCATTTGCAGAAGAATTTCACTAAGTTCAGAATTTGTTATTTAGCATTTAAAGGTCTCTTTCATTATGGCTACTAACATAATAACAAAATTTTAGAATTTGATAATAATATTAAGATATTTAAAATTGTTAACAGAATTTTGGGGAAAAAATTGATCATTATTTTATATTTGTATTGCTTATCATTTTTTATTTAAATTACTATTAATAGGCATTTAAATCTAGGATTTGGGTTACACTCTTTGTGTATTACTCGCTTATTTTTGAACTTCAAATTATTTATACAGTTAGGCCAAAGTTGGATTATAATGTTCACTTACAGGTTTAGATTAAGGTGAAATAGCACTTTTTTTATTTTATGGACTGATTAATTATTTCAAGTAGTTTTATTGATTGAAGTTTTAATGTGTGGGACTCAAACTTAATTATTGTTATGATTTCTGAGTAGTTGATAATTCTTTTTGACTCATAAGAGGTCTTGGAATATAATTTTATTTATACTTTGATTTGGTATTTTGCAATAGTTTTTATGTCTTTAATAGTTTGCTCTATAATTCTGGATCTAAGGAAATACTGTTGGGTAAATTGGGCATAAAAAAGGTATCTTTCTTTTCTTACGATTTACTCAACGTTGACTCAGTAGGTACCTAAATAATGAATTAAAGTCTACTGTCTTTTGTGTTTATAAAGAATCAAGATCAAGCAAAGCTTAAAGTAGGTAAGATCTTTGAACTTCGACTTCTCTATTAAAAGTATATCCTATAAAGTTCACATCTTTTCTAACTGATTTACCAGAACTTAGTGTTAAATAAATACTTACTCCTAGGGTACCCATGGTTCTTATTCTTCAAACTTATCAAAGTTCCTAGTGTCCAATTCAGATTTGATTTCAGGTATGTAAGGGGATACCTTAGATCTTAGATTTTTCCAATCTATTCCAGCAAAGAAGGGATGAGCTTTAATTTCATTGACTCCATTTACTCCGAGCCTATTAGAAGCATCAGTCATTAGTCTTAATATTAAATCCGTAGCAGCAGGAGATAACTTAGCTTCTTAAGGAATAACAAGTGTTTTTTTCCAATTAATGATCTTCTAACAAGTTGAGGAGGGGTCATCAGAAAAGAATGGTGGATATCCAACCAGCATTTCAAATAGAATAGCTCCTAGTGACCACCAATCTGCTGTCTCATTATAACCAGACTTTCCGAACACTTCAGGAGCAATATAATCTGGAGTGCCTACTGTGCTGTAAGCCTTAATTCTATTTCTCTTGAAGGTAGTTGTGTTACTTCCTTTATCCTCTGGTTTATGTACACTGATTCTCTCATCTAATCTCGTTCCTCTTGATTCTACGTATTTGCATAACCCAAAGTCACTCAATTTTATGTGTCCGTCTGCTTATAATAAAATATTATCTGGCTTTAAATCTCTATGTATATATTTTAATTTGTGTACAGAATCCACTGCCCTACACTTATTTACTTACATCATACATTATTGATTCAGCCATATAAAATTATGATTCCTTCTCAGTAAAGATGTCCTTCTTCATTAATAATGTCATCAAATCTCCTCCTGGCAAGTATTCCATTACTAAGTACAGGTATCTAGCATAATAGAATTTCGTACTTTTCATCTTGGAATGAGCATTTTAATTAAACTATCCATGGATTATCTGATGCTGCTAAAAGGTCTCTTTCTGCTCTTACGTGACAAACCTTGCTAAATTACTTTAGATACTTAGTTTTTATAAAGCATTTCAGACTTTTTCATTTTCTTAACTGCAACTATATCATTGGACAATTTATTTCTACACAACCTTACTTCACCAAAGGCACCTCTTCCAATTATTTCTATTGGTTCAAAGTCTTTTATGCTTAGTTTTTGTCTTTGTAATCTCAATATCTCAGCCTCCTTATGAAGCAAGTCTTGTTTAATAACTTATTGCTCAATTGGTGTATAATTTAGATTTGTCAATTTTTGAATTAATTGTTCCCACTTCTCTCTTTTTTCTTTTTATTCATAAAGCAGCTTTTGGTATTTCTTCTCAATGTATTATTTTGCTGCCTCCACTCTCTCTTTGGTAGATTACGATAATTTTAACATTTATGTTTTAGAAGGGTCCATAATAAATATTAATTAATATTTTCAAAAATTCATAATTAGAATACTATCCTCATATTTATTTCTATCTCCCTATTAATCAATTTATCCTAAATAACAAATTTTATATTTAAACTCACATTCCCATAAGAATTTAATACTCCAAGTTTGAATACACTTTTTATTAGTTGTTCTCTCCTTTTTTAAAAAATTGATTCTATCTAAGAGTGTACTTGAAAAAAATCGTTATAAGGTCAAAAATTCTAAATTGTTCTTTTATAGAAATATATTATTATTATCTATTAATTGTAATAAATTACCTTTCCTCCTATAGAGTTTCAAATTCTATTGTCTATTAAACATTAAATAATCATACGATAAGAGTTCTTTCTTTAAATTATTAAAAGTCTATGTATTCTTATGATTCTTTTAAAAATTATAAGGATATCTTAATTAGACTATTTAGATGAAAAGTTCAATAATATATATCCAATCAGATGTAATTGAATTTTCGTGATCAAATTTCTTATACTCAAGACAATTTTTCACAGTTTTTTTGCAATTCTTAGTTGTTAAAATATAATATTCTCAAATCTAATAAGTTTATTTGCTTTAATAAAAATTATTATAAAATAGTATAGTAAAATATTTAATATAAAAAGAATTGAAAAAAAAGGACCTACTTGGATTCGAACCAAGGTCTTGAGGGTTAAAGCCTCAGGTACTAACCACTATACGATAGATCCTATAGTTATTCATTAAAATTCTGAATGCTATATGAAACTCTTGACTTATTAAAAATAAATAGCCTTGCAATTCAAGAGAATTGTTTAAATATAATTTTTAGAAAATTGATAATGAATATAATTCTCAATTCTACTAACTAAAAATAATTTAAATGTATCTATCATTTCAATATAATTATAGTTTGAAGTAGGAATAAAAAATATTGTAATTAATTATCATTTTAGTTTTAAGACCCACTTTCCTCTTTGCTTACTCTTAACATAATACCAATCTCCTCTAATTGATTAATCTGAATCATCAAATTGTCCTTGATAAACCAATTCATCACCCTTGTGTAGCTCAGCCTCTTCATACATTTTTCTAGAGAATGTTTCAATTTGATTGAATTGATTAATATTCATTCTACCAAACTAAGTCCATGATCCGTAACGATCTTAACCATACATTCGGAAACTCAATTCATTCCCATCTTATGATACTGTAACCTTCTCTATCTTTTATGAGACCCATAAATCGTTAAAGGTGAATGACATTTCCAATTTTCCTTCTTACAATTTTTAGGCTATGCTATTAATTGTTTAGTTCAATTCATCTAAATTATTCTTATTTTGATTTCTAGCAGCAGGGACTTCTTTTTCAGATTCTTTTATTCTTGGTATTACAATAGCGATCAGTACAGCAATGAAAATTATTGCTAAAAATTCTGTTAATCCTCCTCCATTTTCATTATGTTCAATTGGATAACCGTTTTAATCATATTCCTATTCCCTAGAGCTTGATTCAGACGAATCATAATTATTATTACTACTACTTTAAACCTCATTTGGTTAGCATTGAATTATTAAATATAGCAAATTCAGGATTAAAATTTTCATTTAAAACAAATAATGAAATTTTTTAATTAGAAATATTTACGAGTTCAATTTCTGATACTTGCTTCTCTATTATTTATTTGAATAATATTAATTAATAGAAAAATAAAATATAAAATTAATAATATTAATAAATTATTGTATTAATCATCCTAACATGATAATTGGCTCAATCAAATTCATAAGCAAAGATGATATATTTATAAAAATGTCTAAAGTAATATATAATGGAAAAAAATATGACAAAAAGTAAATCATAAGGGGAAATTATTATATTAAATGAAACGCAATATTCTAAGAAAGCGTAACGATACTAGGAATATAAACAATTTGTTTTTAATCCTTTTCGACAAAAAATGAATAATTTTATTCAGATTTTTGGAGAATGATACATATCAATAGTATTGATAGATTTCAATCCTGTTTATAAAGGTGATGGAGGAAGTATAAAATGAAATCTCAAATGAGAATAGTTGCATTTTGAATAAATTTCCAAAAGGCTGATTTAAAATTAGCATTTTATATTTATTATAGAATCATTCTGTTTAATAGGTTGTTGAAGAATTGAAGATAAACTTTTGAGATGATATTGATTTTGAAGGAGATTGAGATTCTCCTTTAAGCTTTTATGGCAGTGATTGAAATTTCAATCTATCCATAAATTAAACGGTATGCTCGCTTTTAATATTTCTTTGACTAATTATTTATTTAGGGCTTTCAATCTAATTCTGTATTTTTTCAATTAAAAGTTCTCTGCGAGATTATCCTCCTTTAGCATTCAAGATAATATCTGCTATATTTAATTTAGTTTATAAAATGGTATCATGGAATTTTAAGTCATTTTTTTGCCATTTCAATCCTAAATAAGAAAGAAGCATTTACGATTTGGCTTTAAGAACTTTGTCATTCCTCTCTAAGTCAGATAGCCTGATTCTATGATCTGTTTTCTTTTGAGATATTCTCTCTCTTCATTTAAGATGTACTTCTTCATCTCACATCTTTTGAAAGAAAGAAGTGGGATAGGAACAAATTACCCAATAGACCTTCCTGTAACAGGAGTATTTGTTGATTGTGGACTCGCGAACATATTCGATGTGCTGGCTGATTTGACATGAAATTTAAACGATTTTTTCCTTGGACCCATATCCATCATCATATTGAATAATAATTATATTATAATTTGATTCTTTTAATGAAATCTAATAAATTTAGTTAGGGTAGTGTTCCCAAAGAGGAAAAACAGAGATGTAAATAGTGATACCTTAACTCTAGCTCGAAGTTTGTATGCATCATAATATTTCAATTTCGCTGAAGTACCGAAACAAAGGGCATCTCAAGCATCCATTGTAAAAACAGAAGGCAAGGAAATTTAAAGAAGATTACTCTTCTACCATAAAACAGTGCTCGTTGATAATGTGATTAGGAATTCAAATAAGTAGCAAAAAAATAAAAACTTCAAGGAAAAAATGTTTGAGATCAATGATTCTCGATAAAGAAGGTTGAGCTGCTCTTGCAATGAGTGTGGCAGAAGATCAACGAAAATGAATAAATTCCATAATGTATATTAAAAGTAAGAACAAACCTCCAAAGACTTTTGGTCGAGCTTAATTATATAGTAGCAATAGTAATCATAATTAACTATTTCAACAAAATCATTAAAGTCCACAACCACACTCCTCTCAATCCCAGACATTAGTCCTAAAAAACATCAACAGAAAATAGAGAGTCCGATGTCAAAGAAATATAAACAAAACTAAAAACTAGCCTCTCCTCCTCTCATAAATTTGAAACCATATCTTTAAGAATCACCTCAGAAAAAGTTCACCAATCTCCAAACCGAATAAACACAATTGATTCTTAAGCCAGTTTTCCTGAGATCTTCAGCTCCTAACTTAGAAACCTTTGAGTATTCTTCCAAACAAAGCAGTCCAAGAAGAGGCAAATCTAATTAGAATTAAAAATTGGAGTAATAAGTGTAAACTGCTAGAAATTTAACTAAAAGGATGCTTCAAATTTGCTATTTGAAACCATTCTCAGGTATCTCAAATCGAAATACATGTATGAATACATAAAGAAAAGAACAAAAATATTGAAATTAAATTTATATATTTGATTATAATTCTTGTTATATGAGTTATCTCATTTTTATCACCGTTTCTATTCAATAATAAAATTCTATTTATTTTGAATTTTTAATAAGAAGGTTATTAATTAAAATAAAGAGAAATACCTCAACTAGAGAGAGAGATAAACATAGATTTAGAATTAAAAATTAATATAGAATAAATTTATTAACTGGGATTTTTATTTCATTAAGTCCTTTAAACAAATAAAATAATGAATGAGATACGTTACATATATATGACAAAATAATTCAATTAGTTTACATATACTATTTTCTAATATGATGTCAAATTTAATTAATTTATTTAAAGATTAGCTAGAAAAAGATGAATAAAATTAGAACTATTGCTAAAGTCTTAAAACCTGGTTAATTTAGGTTAAACTTTGTGTCAAAAATATAGATAGTTTTCAATTCTGAAAAAAACCAAAACAACAGTAATGTATTCATTACTTTTTTATAATCTTTTTTTTAGATAAACCCCTTTATATTTGAAGCTTAAAACAAATAATTTTATTTATATTGTCAACTCATTAGATCTTCAACTTCATCAACTAAATCTTACATATCTATTACTATCTTATTAATTATTGACTCTAATTTCATTAGGTCATTTGAAAGCTTATTATCCTCAAGCTTACAAATTAATGTTAAATACTGTTTATACATGTTTTCAAATTCCTTTCTCATTGATATCAGTTTATTCTGAATTGAAAATCTTATTTATTTTAATTTTTATTAAGTGATGGATTGTGAATTATCAACTTATTATTTTGATTACATTTAAGTTATTTCGCTTATTGCTACATCTCTTTTTCCTTTCAAGACTTTAATCAAATCATTTAATTATTGCTATTACTGCTTTTCATTTAAAATTTAGTCATTAAGTGCCTTGATTTCATCTCCTTTCATTATTAGAAGTTTCTTTAAATCCTAGATTTCCTCTTTTTATTTTGTGTTTTCTAATTATATTTATAGTTCGATATTTCTTTGAGCATCGAATTATTATAATTAGTTGATAAGTTTATTATTTTCCTTAATGAGCATATTGATTTGTTATTATTTAGATTCAATCTCCTACCTACTTTTTGATTATTAATCTGCTAATTGTTGTAATACCATATTATAATTCCTATTAATCTATCTATTTTCTTAACTCTGCTTGTCGATTTCTTAAGCTTACAAGTTTATTTTATGGAGTTAATCCTTGTTCAATTAAATATATTCTTGGATTTCTTTTTGCAAAGCTTCTATTCTTTATTTATATTGTTCATCATTACTTTTATCTAGATCGATAAATGCAGCATTAATCTCTTATAACTCTTTATCATCTATCTGATTATTATTCCAATTTATTTATGCTTAAATAGTTTATAATTCTTTTTTTGATTATTCTAATTCGCATTCAATGACTTCCTTCTTTCTTAACTCATTGTCAGCATCAGCCTACATTTCAATCATGGCTTGCTCTAATTCCTTGCAATGGTTTTCCTTTTCTGATAATTCTTATGCCATTCTCTTTCTTTCCTTTTCGAGCATTTCAAATTTGTTAAACATGGGCAAAAATTATTAGCAAACATCATCGTATCCTCTTTATAGTCTATTGATATAATCTTCCATTTAATGCAGAATATTAGACAAATCTTCAATCGAGTATTACCATAAATTATCTTTCGGGATTGAATAATTTTTAAAAGCCAATTACTCAAAAGTAGGAAAGGATTCAATTTATTACTGCTTATGTTGCTATTCTTTGGTCATCACTTTTTGAGCTGTTAATTTGGCATTTTCAATTAAATTTTTTATCATTTTTATTATGAATCAATTTCAGAATTGGGAATAGTATTTAGGGTACAATGCATTTCTGCTATTTTACAAGGAATTCATGAATATTTGAGTTTATCCTAAGGTTCTGATATTCCAAAATATCCAGCAGAGGTCAATTATTAGAATAGACAGAGCAATAGAAAAAAAAGGTAGATGAGTTATTGATTTGTATTAAATTAATTCACTTTGTTGTAATTTTAAAATAATTAGAAATATAAATTAATTTAAATGGAAAAAGTTTTAAGTTATGATTAGATAGTTTCACATCTGGTAGAATTTTGTCATAAAAGTTAAGACGAGGAAATCAAAGAGATTGAAGCCACTAAGATATTAAATTAGATGAGCATGAAGAACGGACATTAGGAATTTAATTATGAAATTGCGGTTGAATTGTTTGAAAGAGTTGCGTCTTACAATACATCTTTAACAATATAAACTTTAGCTCATGTAATCTATGAAGCCAATGATATCATCATTAATAAATACAATCATGCTATGAATAGGGAAATGTATATGGAAGAATAAAAAGCATATCTAAAGCACATCAAACCTTATGGGAATACAACAAATCTTCAAATTAGCTATGTGAAAATATAAGAAGCCTATGTACATCGACCATATATCGTTGTTCTTATAGGAGAGTTCATTCATGAGAGTGAAATACAGACAAGGAAGGACGGCTGGTTTGAATGGAGTTTAGATATACAAATTCCAGTGAAATCTCTGGTGACAGATTTAAAAGTTGAATTACTAGAAGATCACAACATTATTGCAAGTTTACAAATACCTTATGAGGCTTTGCCGATGAATGAAATGAAGGAAGCTGAATTGCAAATGTAAAATGCTAACTGTCACACATTAATTTAATTGCAATGTATGTTGAGTATTGGTAACAATTATAAGGAGTTGATCGATGAGAAAATGCAATTTCTAGATAATCAAACTTAAATTTGTTAAGAAGAATTATTCCTGCTTTAATCCTAATTGCATGAATTAAGCAAACCCTTCTTCAGAGATGCCAACATCCAACCAAAGCAAATCAACTATTCCAATAAATCTCAGCTAAACACTGAAATATTTTAGAATATCCCTGATAAAAGTACTCTATAACCACCATCCCTACAAGCCACAGCCTTCAGAAACACTTCCTCCGCTCTTGGGTTCAAAAAGATCATCATTGAACCAGAACGGAAATTGCATTCCTACCCTATTATGGCTAGAATCGATCTCTTAGCAACATTAATAGCAGTATTTGTCTCATCATTTTATGATAGATAATTTCAATGATGATTAATTTCTTTACTCCTGACATTAGTGTTACTTTTATCATGGTTATCCTTTTTTCAATAATGCTGAAACACAAATATACATTAATTTACATACTGATTTTAGTGACTTTTGGAATCATCATTGAAATTTTCACTCTCAGCTATTTAGACCTTAGCATATTTGCAATTTTATTAGTAGTGTTGAATATGTTACTAAATTTTGGGTTGTTTCTCTTTACAGGATTGCTCTTAAATGATGTTGAAAATGTATCGAGACTTAAATCCAAGCTTTTACTACCTTTGTGATTAATTTAATTTATGTTCACACTTAAGAAATATTTATATGATATTGCCTATGGAGAAAGGAAGGTGAAGAATCGAATTGGAATCGTAGTAATGCTCATCTCTGGGTATGCTGGATTCAATTTGGGAACCAATCAATCTGAAAAATTGGACACTTCCTCTCTTTATTAATTTAATGGGTAGGATGAAGAAATATACAATCTATTATAAACAAAGCCAGTATTACAATTGATCTATCCTCCTGGAGAGCCCTATTTTGATAACTATAGAACTGCATTCATAAAGGCTTCAAACAAATTCAAGTACGAAATGAGTAATTTATTAGTCAAGTGCATTTTGTCCTAGTTAATACCAACCAGCACTTTCAATATTGTAGGAATATTGATCTATCCAGATTGCCTCAAGGATTGCTTTGGCTACCACAGAATTACAATCTTGATAAAATTGAGAAATTCAAATAGGAAGGAGTGTTTCCTGTTGTAGAATATCTTAAGGAGTATTCTGTAGAAGGGATTGAATGCTTTTTAATGGAGAATGGTGTTATACCTTAAAAAAAATCAACAGACTAATTAACTTAGCAAATAAAAACATTAATGTGATATAATAATAATTCATCTTAAATAAAGAATCATATATTTTATTAGTATAGAGTAGAGTTCCATTTATTTATTATTTATCTGTTGTAAAAAATAATATCAACTTAAAATTATTATTATTTAATATTCATGGACAATTTAAGTGATGAAGAAATTTATAATGATCGTAATCGAATTGAACCGTTTGTTAAAGCAATCACAAGAAATAAACATTTGTTTAAAGATAAAATTGTATTGGATCTGAATGCAGGCATGGGATTGCTTAGTGTTCTGGCTTCGGAATCAGGAGCTAAATAAGTTATCGCTATGAAAGCAAATAGTTATGCTACTGAAATTATGAAACTGAATAACATCTAGAATGCTAAACTATACAACGAGAATGTAAGGGAGGTGGAATTAAATTGCAAAGTCGACATCATAATTGCTGCTTGGATGGGCAATATGTTATTTTACGGTGGATGCATACAGGATGTCATCTATGCAAGAGACAAATATCTCAATCAAGATGGTTTCATCATGCCTGACAAAGGGTAATTATATCTCTAATCGATTGAAGATAGTTAATATCGCAAAACGAAGATGAATTTTTGGTATTTTGAATTATGAGTTTGTAGGGATTCTGTGTATGGGGTTAACATGAAATGGATGAAACAATGGATTGCCAAAGAGCCACTTCTGGAAAGCATAAAGGAAAATCAATTAAATAGTGATGAATAATTGATCTACGAGATCAATTTACAAACTTGTACTTTGAAAGATCTTAGCTTTAGTAATTAATACTAAGTGAAGATCAAGAGATAAGATTACGCAACTGGGGTCATTGTGTGGATGAAATACTCTTTCACTTATACTCATCTGCCAATCCATGTGATTATGGGTCCAACCAAGTCTCCTTATTGGAAACCAGTCATTTTGTATTTTAGAGAAGAACTACCAGTAAATAAGGGTGACAAATTAGAAGGTGTATTGATGTTTTTGATTATCATTTAGGTTCATTGGCTGTGAAATTCGAATCAGAAGAACTCTTGCAAATTAAGTTATCTGTACATATGCAACATTATAATTATGTATCATATTTTAAATTAAATTGAGTAAGTAAAATATGAATCATTATACTTTTATTCTTTTCACTATTGTTGCACTTTGTTTATTCTGATTCACCAATTTAAAGGCCAAGGGAGATGATCTCAATGAATTATACACAGCAGTCTCTGTAATGTTGCGATTAACTGCTCTTCCTCTTATCTCGCAATCAGTGTCTCTTCTTTTTGAACAGGATGAATATGACTTCATTCTCTAAGCAGTGTATTTTGGCTAAAGATACTTTGTAGATTAAGGGTTTTATTGAGAATCGCCTTGCTATTATTATTGCTGACCCTCGATTTATCTGACAAAATAGCAGAGATATCTACTCAATTGATTGATGAGCAAATCCTTAATCTAATCATTTTAGTCTGAAGTAAAAAAAGTCCTTAGACTGTTAATTGTATCTAAAACACATTGTTTCAGTTGTTTGGACAGTAATTTAGTCTCCATGAACTCTTAGGCATTGGCTTTAGAGTCTAGAATAGGTATGACTAAGGATGAGTCACATTTTTAATCCAACTTGAATTCCAATTCTTAAATAAATCTCAATCTTTCATCGATTTGTTGCAGTGTTTCTTCCTTTATTTAAGGTTTATTATTAATGGCTATTATCTACTGATTAAGAAGTTCAGATGAAGCTTTCAACTTCTTTGTTTCTTCTAATAATTGAATGATCATCTAATTAAAGTATTCCATTCTGATGTTTATAGTGTCTGAAACAGGTTGTGTAATATTCTCTTGAAACTTACTTGCTTTTGGCAATCTTTGTCTAATTTCATCTAATTAGTTTTATAATTCCTGAATTCTAGCATCTGATCGTTAAAATATTCTCTGCATCATATCAGAATTAATAATGGATCCTTATCTTGATAGCATAGTTGATTTCCTAATCTTTTTCCGAGGTGAAGATTGAGCACTTTCCATTTCCTCTTGAGAGACTTCAGCTCTTTTTGGACTCTCACAATAAGTGACACTTTCACCTTCTTTTTGAATTAGTTAATGTTACAAAGTTTATATCTCCAAATTCTTCTATTTATTGAATGCTTGAAATGAGACCTTTTATTCGAATATTTCAGCACTTATGGATTCCAGTTTCTCATTCAGATATTCAGATTCCCTTTGTAAACGTAAGGTTTTCTGCATAGCAATTTATAACTCATCCTTCATGACTACTTTTTAGAATGTGGAATTGATGATGTGCAATTATGATTTTAGGTCATTTAATTATTAGTTCTCCTCCTTGATTTACTCAGACATTAATTTGTGTGCTTCTGTTGTTTCTTTTTGTATCATCAATATCTTCTCTGACAAAATCTTACACACTTAATTCACTCGATCTTCAAAGACTCTTTGGTCATTTTTTGTTGCGTACACTTTTAGTTTGCTATTCGCTAGATCTTCAACTTTCTAATCCACTAATTCACTCAACACTGACATCTATCGATCTTTAATAAATTATATGTTATCCTAAACAATGCCCAATTATTATTTGGTACTCATCTCGCCTTGCAAACGGTCTATTCTTTACTGAATCTAATTCTTTATATGATCCAATTCAAGACAAGTTACAAAATCTCTTCTCATTAAATCTTATACCTTAGTGATTTCTGAGTGATCTATTTTCGAAGCCAATTATGTTTCAAATTAATCAAGACGAGTCTTATAGTTTTAAGTTAATCTATCATTTTACAACAGCAGCCCAGTGTATTCTTTATGTTTTAGACTCATTTCTTTGAAATTGATTCTCATTTGATTGTTCACCTCCCTATTTTGTTTTGCTTCCTCCAAAATGCTATGAAATATTTCATTGAATCTCCATACCTATGCATCTCATCGATCCAGGGTTGGATTTACATAATATAAACAGAATGTCTGTTAAGAATTTCATCATAATGACTACTGAACTTCGAATGCTGTGATTCAATTGAACTCAATCTTTCTTGGATCTTCAATTGAGAATTTAGAAGTTGAATGGTATCACTTATCAAATCAACCCTTGGATTATTAGTCATAAAGACATCCAAGTTGGACAATTTTTATTGCATCTAAGAAATCTGACTCAGGTAAGGCAGAAATGATTTGCTCAGTTATTCAATAGATTCTTCTAGTTTTATAAATCGTAATTACTCATTCATTATTATTATAAATGTAAATCTCAGAAAAAGGATTTTATAGAATCCTAAATTCATATGATTAAAACGATCCAAGAAAACATGTCGACTGGACCACAGACTTCACACGCGAACTACCTATTCGAGGCATCGTGGATCCAATGCCTATTACAATCCCACAGGCATTCAAATAAGATTGTGTTAAATTCCTTGATTTGCCTGCCCTCTCTGTTAAGCGCAATAAGATCTGGCAAACATTGAGTTACGGAGCATATTACAGCGCAGTTCTTGATTTCGCTTCTGCATTAATTGAATTAAACATTACTGAATTAAGTGCAGTCAATATTATTGGCTTCAATGCTCCTGAATGGAATATTGCTTTCATGGGCAGCATACATGCTCATAATCTCCCAGTTGGAATCTACACTACTAATAATCCAGAGGCATGTCTCTATGTTAGCGAGCATTCTGAATGCGAGTTACTCGTGGCAGACACTCGAGAGTAATTACAGAAATATCTATCCATTTGGGATCGATTGCCTAAATTGAAGGCTGTTGTCCTCTATAATGATAATGTACACCATATTAAAAACATCCCTCCAAATAGGAAAGTCTACAATTGGAATGATTTTCTAGAAATTGGAAAAAAATCTAATAATCTTAAGGTGGTCGACCAAAGAACCAGCTAATTGGAACCAGGGAATTGTTGCACTCTCATCTATACTTCAGGAACAACAGGTAATCCAAAAGGCGTCATGCTTTCTCATGACAATTATATGTTTATAGTTGCTCAACATCTAAAGAAATACAAAATTGATGATGGATATAGAATAGTAAGTTACCTACCCCTGAGTCACGTGGCAGCATAATTAGTAGATTTAATTGGCTTATTTAGATGGGGTGGCCACTTGTACTTTGCAAATCCAGATGCACTACAAGGTTCTTTGATAAACACTCTCAAAGAAGTGAGACCAACGTTTTTTTTGGGTGTTCCCAGAGTTTGGGAAAAAATATATGAAGAAATGCAAAAAGTAGCTAAATCAAACGGATTAATCAAGACCATGATAGCCATATGGGCTAAATCTTTAGGTAAGGATGGTACCTTTGCTTAAACTCATGAGTTACAACCCCCTACTTGTTTTGGTCTAGCAGAAACGATGGTTTATTAATAGGTGAAAAAAGCATTAGGATTGGATAAGGCAGCCTACCTACTTTTTGGAGCAGCTCCCTTAAATCCTAAAATAAGAGAATATTTCTTATCATTAAATATGTAATAATGAGGAATTACTTTAGGTTTCTGATCAATGCATATGGAATGAGTGAATGCGGTGGTGTTTAGACGTTATCTTTTCCAGAGAATTTCTCACAATTCGACAGTTTCTTTATGAGTAGTGCTGGCTAGGCTATAGAAGGAACTTAAATGAAAATAGTTAAACATGATGAGGATGGAAATGGAGAAATCTGCTATAAAGGAAGACATATTTTTATGGGTTACTTTAAAGATGATGCCTCTACTAGATAAGCAATTGATGAAGATGGATTTCTGCATTCAGGAGATATCGGAAAAATAGATTCGAAAGGAAATCTAATTATTACTGGAAGGATCAAAGAATTGATAATTACTGCTGGAGGTGAGAATGTGGCTCCTATTCTTATTGAAAATGAGCTTAAGAAACATCTTGAATTTATCTCAAATTGCATGGTGGTTGGAGATAATCGAAAGTACTTATCAGTACTCCTAACTCTAAAGTAGGATTAAGCTGCTAAAGGAAAATTGACATCAGAGGTTATCTCTGAATTTCAGGCTCATGGATCTTAAGCTACAACAGTGGAAGAAGCTAAATTAGATCCCAATGTGAAAAAGCACATTCAATCTTTGATAGATTAAACCAACCAATAAGTGATCTCTAAAGCATAACAAATTAGAAAATGGACTATAATAGAAGGAGACTTCTCGGTTGAGACTGGAGAATTGACACCAACTCTGAAATTGAAGAGGAAAGTAGTTGAAAAAAAGTGGCAAGGGGAAATTGAAAGGATGTACTTAGATTCAAAATTATGAATTTTATCCAAGAATGAAAATTTTATTAGATATATTATCAAATATTTCTTAATAAACAGTATCAAATGTTGAATTCATTAATACTGCTAAGAGATACATCCATTATATTGCTATTACAATTACTTTTACTCTGAATCTCATGTTTCTATAGGTAGCTCCGCCTTGCAGTTGCATAAATTTAGCTACTGTTCTTATGACCTGTCTGAAGCACCATCTTAGCAAATGCAGAGTCGCTATTTATGTAAGTAGAAACCTTTGGATTTTGAACTAATAATTCATAAGGATGTCCTTCCTCAAGTACTTTGCCATCCTCTAAAACCAGCACTTTGTCATAATCTGCTATTGTGTTCAATCTATGTGCTATGGTGAATATTGTGCAATCATTAAATTTGCCCTTGATGATTGTCTAAATTAAACAGTCAGTAATCATGTCAAGATTTGCAGTCGCTTCATCTAAAATCAAAATCTTCTTCTTGTTCAATAGAACTCGACTCAAACAGATTAATTATTTCTAGCCAATTGAAAAGAATTCTGGTTCTATCTAGTGTTCGAGACCATTTGGTAGCTATTAAATAAATCCTTCTAATCCTGTATCCGATAGAACATTCAACAAAGTTTTATCATCAAAATTTTAAAAAGGATCTAAATTCTCTCTCAAAGTGCCTTTGAAAAGAAAAGGAACTTGAGGAATAATGCTAATTTCTTTCCTTAACTTGTATAAGTTAATTTTGCGAATATCTTAATCATCTATTGAGATTACACTATTTAATATAGAGAGATTAAATACCCACTATTTTAGATAGAATTCAATCTAAAAAGACTTGAAATAACTGATGATTTACCAGCTCCAGTTCTACCAACTATCCCAACTTTCTCTTTATCCTTTATTGAAAAGTTCATCCCCTTTAGTACTAAGGGAGTGTTCTCTCTGTATTGCATTGTAACATTTGAATAGAGGATAGAACCTAGCCTTGGCCAGTTCTTCATCTCTAACTCCCCTGCTGCATTTTCTTTTTCTACTTCCAAATCACAAATTTCAAACATTCTATTCACACTATTCATCATTGAATCAAATGCCATGAATTGCCTTAATGTACCTGCTTAAGTGTTGAAGGTTGATAGCAACAACAAAGCTTGTGAGAAAATGGTAGGATCTGACACCATTCCTATGATCAAGAAGATTCCCGATATGTTCGCAAACTAACCAAACAAATCAATATAAAACCCAAAGCACCTTTATGAATACAAAAATATCAGATTAGCCTGCATGGATTGATTAGACAATTTAATAAATTTCTCCTTGATCCATTATGAATTTTCATTTATTCTTATTTATGTGACTCCATTAATAGTAATTTTAAATTGATCAAATAGGGGAGATCTTTGAATCAAATCGCATATCTTTAATTATGAAACCACTGATCTTGTTATTGTAAAAATTACAATTGTACTAATAATGGTAAAGATTGCTGCAAATGTAAAGTACGGTTATAGAATGGCTATGGTGACAAGAGATACCAAAAATTGCGATCCTTATTCAAATATATCCGTAATCGTTTATTGTATTTAAGTATCTGCCAAGGATAAATCAGTTGAAAAACGATTAATCAATCTTCCAGAAGGATTGGTATCAAAATAAATGATAGGCGATAGAATCAACCTTTTTAACATTTAATTATGAATGGTGTTATTTGAAGTCAGTACTCCAAATATATTTAAAAAATACTTTACAATATTATTAAAATATGCTGCTAGTACTAAAATAGCTGCATTGTAAAATATTTAATCATTCTCTCTTTATCTATCTTCATCAAATGAAGCCATTTCTTTATAATAGTAATTATTAATAATTTCACTAGCTACATTCTGAAACAATATAACAAATATTAAAATAAAAGGTTTCCAATAACTAAAATACCTTTTATAAGTATCAAAAGAAGCATCAGATTGATTTTGATCCTCAGTTATGTACAATGCTTAGGTTTCATCTTTACTTGACTTTTACATCTAATTGACTACCTTACCTATCAATTTACTAGGTCTTCTGATTTTTAAGGACCTGACAGGATTATCAACGTTTGTGTTACTTGTATGAGCACTTGTAATTTCTAGGATATGTTTTTTCATTTTGTTCTTTTGACCCTAATGAGTAATCATACCCCCATCCATAATAACTACATAATCGCATTCTAAGGCATACGAGATTTGATGTGTAGCCAAAATGACAGACGGAGTTTGTTGTATGAATGCCTAATGAGTCTTAATTAAACTAGGCCTGTAATTGGGTTGAAACTTAAAGATGAAATCTTTGATTGCATTATCAAAAATCTTGCCAGCTACTTTAGAATCAACCGCAGAGAGGGGATCATCAAAGAGATATAAATCAGCTTAAGAATATAAGGCTCTGGCCAAACTCAATCTTGCCCTCTGACCTCCTGATAAGTTGGCTCCTTTTTCACCGATTTCTGTTTTGTCTCCTTGTCTAAACGATAAGATGTCTTAATCTAAACAACTCACTTCCAACACTTTCAAGTAGAGTACTTAGTCATAGTCTTTCCCAAATAAAATATTTTCCTTTATAGTTCCAGTGTAAATAAAGGGTTCTTGTTCAACATAAGCAAGTTTCAACTTCTTTGACTGGTTTACACTTCCTTCGTAATAAGGTAATTCTTAAAGGATTGCTGCTAGAAGTGTAGATTTGCCTGCTCCAACCTTCCCAATAACCCCCATGATTTCCCCTGTTTTGATGTCCAAATTAATTGAACTGATCGCCAGAGGACCATCCTTTGACCATCTGCCAGAATATTGATATATAGTAACGAGAGATGTCTATTGCAGAGTTAGACTGCCTTTGCGATTGAGTCCTCGAGTTCTATCCACTAATAATTATTGCATTGGTTGATGTTGGGTATCATAAGTAGTAAAAGTAGTTCTAAACTGATCAATAGTGGTAATATTGTTTGATTGCTGTCTCAGTATTTCGGAAACTCTTGAGAATATGACACTGAAATTCATGAGAGCTTGAAAAGCATAAGATACTTAAAAGATGCAATAGTATTTTATCATAGACATGAGTTAAATGGTTCCCATGATTGTGGATATAGTCAAATGAGTATTACAGGCATACAATATTAAAATGAAGCAAAATGATCCCCAGATGTGCACACTAAAGTTGAAAGAACGATCTAATAAGTTTAAAACATGAATATTCAAATAATAGAAAAACTCCTTCCTTCTTATTGCATTGATCTTATTCTCAAATAACCTCTCCCATACATACATTTTAATATGCTTAATTCCTTCAATGACAGTGTTCGTTTATTGAATTCTCTGGTCTTACAACTTTCGAGTTTGGAGCAATAGTTTCTTGTTGAAATTCTAAATCAGTATTTATAAAGGGTAGAGAATAGCGCAGAAGATTATAGCTACCAATCCTAGAGGCCCTTCAAATCTTAACTAAAATTTACAAATTTCATACCCATAAGATAATTGAAGTGAATAACAATGAACCCGGTATCACAGCCACTTAATATATGAAAGTCAATTGATATTCTATCACATTAAGATCACTGCTAACCAGATTCATGATCTTGCCTACATTTAACGTTGCTATCTGTGTTGAATTCAATTCAATAATTCTGTCATAAATTAAATTGATGAAAACCATCCTTATTTTTGTTGCAAAGTTGCTTATCAAGTACCTATTTAATGAATTAATTTAATACTATTATTGATGCTTACTCATTAGAGCAAGCAATGAGAGTATTGCTAGAGCAACAGCCTGGAGATAGGCACTGTTCATATCCCTTTCAGTAATTGCGGCTATCAAGGTTTCAGTCAGAATGGCCATGATAAATCTTGAATAAGTCTCAAACATCGCTAGGGTGACTATCATCAATGTGACATACTTATTATCTTACCAAAAGAACAATTTAAAGAGGGCTCGATTATTAAAATTATACAAATCCTAAGAATGTATTGAATGACAATATTTACATTATTTTTTATTTGCTCGTACACTCTTTTTAAATTATATTGTATTGAATCTCTAAATGCTTGTTTTGGTAGTTGAGCCACGCTGATTTTTTGAGTGGATGATTCGATAAACTTCTTCATTTGCTTCATGTAACAAAATATGTGATAAAGGAATAACCTTTAAAATATATTGTAATGCTGATAGATTGTATCATCATTTATTATGAGTTTATGAGATGCTTTTACTGGAGAGTAAAGACTGTTCATAGTATTAAGATTTTTATAAGATTTTATAGCATTTTCAATTTTGGGTGAATCTGCACCACCTTGTTGTTGTTTAGGCGTATTGAATAATTACACTTCTATATTTTGACTTTCAGGGTTACTAGACTTCCAAAGCATTTCTTTGTTTTGATTTGCTCTAGTTTTGAAGGGACTCTCAATTTCCTCTTCAGGAATTAAGTTAAGAACTGCATTAGATTCTTGGCGATCCATTTGATCTTAAGATTATTTCTCACTAGCATAGTCCTCGCTATTTTCCTCTTTGATGATGTCGCTATCGATGTCCAAGTTTCGAATCTTCACTGAAACCTTCTTTTTTGAGGTTCTCTCCAATCTTACTCGAATATCCTATTATTAGTGTTCCAATTCAGTATTTGAAGAAACACTTTCATCAGGCTAAGCCTATTCCAGATAGCGACACCTGTTCTCTTGAAACCGCTTCCTTTATTTGTTTGTATAAGAATTCAACATGCGATGCTATATGGGATTTTAATTGAAATATATAAATAAACAGATTGCATTTTTCATAAAAAGTAGGTAATCGACCTGAAATAATATCTGAGTTGAAAATTTGAATGATTTGAATATATTATACATAATTATCATATTAATAAATCGTTGGCAACTTGGTTTCTAGCATCGAAATTGTAATCTGATTGAATCCCATTTCTTTAGACAAAAGGCAGATTATATTTTAAACATTCTTCATATTCTTATTGAAGTTATTGAAGATGAGGATTGTTCATGAATTCAATGTCCTCTTCCTTTTTAATACTAGGATGATGTTCCATTTCGTGTTGAGGATTCCAAAATTCTTACTAAAGATTCGAATAATAATATTTCTGTTGTTCCAACATCATGTAGTAATAGGGATCGTGTGTCTCATAATTGGCAATGATGTTCGCCTCTTCTTTACAATAATATGTGAGGAATAATACCTGCTTTTGGCAAATCCGCTTATGGATTCTTCTTCTTTCTTCCAGCTCTACTCCTCTCAGCTCTTGGCAATCGCTTTCCGTTCTCTCCTCTCAAAGCGTATGGATTAAATTTCTAATGGTGACTTCGGCATTGACTGGGTGTTCTAGTACCAATTAGCTCACTCATTTATTTGAATATTTTCGATGTCTTCTTCATCATTGAGGATGTCATGATATCCTCATATTACTATAAAAAGGATATGTAGGTCGAATGTTCATCGGTTGACCAATGACCAGTATTCATGTTCTCTTTCTTTGGCTTTTTTATTTGGGAATGCTATCCCTTCTATTTTTGAGTCTATTGAGAACCCTCCTGAGAACCTTAGCCATCTTAATGTGGATTGGAAACAATGTCTGATTGAAGTTTGGGCATGGGATTGCCTTGTGTGTAATGAAACACTGGATATGGTTGTTTAATACTAAAGTGAGAATGAATATTGTACATCTAATCTGAAGGGATTATTATTTTTTGCTGATCCTCAACGAACTATTTGTCTGATTCTAAAGTCTTTGGCAGAAGGCCCTTTGAATCGTTATTCCTTTTTCAATGAGATTAAATTCAATTACTTATGCTTTTTATTTTTTTTATTTTTTATTTGACTCGGTATCTCGTGTTCTTGTACGAACTCAAATTAATAGGGAGGAAACGCAGGGGCATAAAAATTCTATTGAAATAAGTTAAACTCATTATAATTTGAACCCTGGTTTTATTCTGAAATTATTGGGTGAAAGTCTTACTTGCTATCTCAATCTCACCTTAGAATTGCACTTATGCCTCATTCACATACGGGAAGTAATTTTGGTACATCATATTTATTTAGAATATATTTATTTTACAATCCCTTAATTAATAATTATCCAAAAATATACTCAATTCCATCAAGTCAAATCATCCTTCACAACCATCTGTCTGATTGTCCTATCCAACTAATTATCCAAAAATAATGATTGCTGAGGAAGCAACAATAAAAATCGTTTCATCAAATTGAATTCCCATTTAAAATATGACAATATCTTAGTAAAAACCAACAGAATGCTCAAAACCATCAGTATTATGAATACCAAATTGATTATCTAAAATTCAAATGAAAATTTACCAATATTTGAGAAATCAATTCATCTGTTGAATTCTTCAACTAACTTTGAAATTTCTATTTCAAAACTGAAATGGTATCATATAATATCAAACCAGCCTCTAGTTCTTCTTCTGGCGAGTAGACCTTAAGAACAAATCCCTTTGTTTGATTGTACTCGTTAAGTAAATTGTTTCTTATTGTTGCACCGGCAGCTGAAAACCCTTTACGCAACACTCCTTAGTATACGGCATCACAATGGCTTTAAGCCATTTCAATTTTATTCTTGTGATATTAAATTAAAACTTACAGCTGGCAAGAATTAACACACATCCGTGCTCATTATTTGCTCCATTTCTGTTATAAATTCATCAGATGTTATATATTTGGATTTATCCATCTAAACAACAAGAGATAAGAAATTATTGATGATTTCAATTTGATCAAAGAAATTTTGAACAAAAAATGTGGCATTTTTATCAGGGAAAAAGTAGAAGAGGGTACCTATCGGATACTTTTAATAATATGTAACTTCTCTCATAGAGAACACCCCACTAACAGCTATACACAAATCAGATAGTGAATTGAAGAATGTTGTTGTATCAGGATACTTCTAAAAGTAATTTCTACCCAAGGAATTCGTTATAAAACAAAAAATAAAGCAAATTCCAAATATAAATGTTAATGTAAATAATGAAGGGAATAAAGACATCCTTTAATTTAAATTGGCAATTTAACCTTTCTACTTTTACTTGTTATTTTTTTAATTCTAAGCAATTTTCTCCTTCCTTATATCTTCGGCAGCTAAAAATTTCTCTTTGATGTCAATATCAAATTAATATTTGAACAATACATCTGAATCTTTTATTAAGAGAGAGGCTATTCCTCTGTATCTATCTATGTCTCTTTGCAACCAAACTACATCAATAAAATTGAAGAGTTATAGAAAATTATCGTATTGATTTAAATAAGCTTTATAAAATGTGAAAGCTATAACCAATAACAAAAAACATATTAAAACTATTGGAATCAGAAGATAATTCCATTTCTCTGAGACGGTACCTGATCTGTTTATGGAATAGTTTACCATCTCTTGATTTAATAGTGACAATTATTCTACAAAAGTTTAATAATTTCCATACAGAAACACTAAAAACCCTTGTGTTAAATCTATAGTAATGATATTCAGATAATCTATCTTCACAAAATTGTAACAGGCCTCTAAATATAAATACATCGATTCTCTTGCTGATATAGAATAGTTGCTAGTATTAGGATATTTGCCTACCAAAATATTGAAATATTTATCTTCAAAGAAAGGATTCAAATAAGGATTTGATAATTATTTTGTGAAACTATCTTTAAGCTCAAAGTAAGTATAATTGATATCCTTAATTGAATATTGCATTTTTGCAATTTAACTTTGTACTGTTATATTTGGATATAGGAGTAATAGAACACTATAGACTGTCAAAGAATTCTAAGATACGATATATTTATTAACTGGCCCAATAATATTAGACTTGATTTGGATTAAATCCAATTCTTCTAAAAATCTATTTAAATCATCGTTTGAATAATATAGCATTATCCCACTATATACTAAAAATAGAACAAACATCACAGTTAGAAATGCTAACATAAGTTTAAATTTCTTTGAAAATTTCGTAGAGTTAATGAGTTTTTCAAGTAAATCGTATTTTTTTGAATATTTTGATTTCTTTAATCCAGCAATGGAACTAACCTAGGATCCAATATCATCAATGTGAACGACTCTTTATTCTTTGGAGTCCATTTACATTTGCATTCTAATATTTTCTTATAATTCTTAATCTATATCATCATACTAAAGCTTATCTACTTAATTTTCAATCATCTGTTGCTTTTTTTCACTACTTTGCTAAAATGATGAAGACTACTCCTCCTATTCAATCTATTCAATTGACTTAAAGAATTGTTATTTATTACCAAACTGTTTACCTTTGATTTAAGTGACATTAAAATCAGGATTTTTATTCTCAATTAATCTCAATCCACTATCTTTTGGACTCAACATTGATTAATTTTGATATGGTTATTAATAAGATTAATTTAAACTCTTATCATTGACTCTAAGTTTATTGATATTATAATCAAATTGGTCCATATGATCCAAGTTTTCTAAATTTGCTGTTTGATCCTCCAACCCATACAATTCGATTGCCTTAGGTAAATTTACTGCATATTCTATATCTTCTTATTCAATTTCATAAGCATTAAAACTTTCGAATTCTTAATTTGAGTTTTATCCTAATGTCAATTAGGGTTCAGGTGTTGTATTTTCTGTTCTGGATTGCTTTTTAATTTCTTTGATTTCAATTATAATATAATTTGTATCTGTTTTGAAATTTCGGATATGTAAAGTACAATCTACTTAATAGATAGTTAAATGATCCTGATTTTCCCAATTTATTTTTTGGTTGGTCTCCAAAAGTAAAGCTAAGGGAACATACATTTGCAATGAATATTCACTTATTTATGTCACATCTATGATATCTAAATTAACATCAGAAGCCTTAGTGATGTTGGCCTCAAGTATTAAGGAAATTTTAGGAAAAATCTTGTTTAATGAAACTCTCTGAAAAGCTTAAGCCAATTCTTTATTTAACTTGCTGCTGTAACCCAATTTATTAATAAAGTTTTTTGATATCCCTGATACCTTGTGATTAGCTAAAGAAAATAGATAAACACTTTGAGTTTCAAGGTTTTACAGGAAACAAGCAAATGTTAAATCATCCAAATTCATAAAATTGATATCATAAAAGAAATCTATAGTTTTTATAAACTTTTGTTGATATTGGCAAAAATTCAAATTAATTTATCTGAAGTATTTAGATACTCCATGTTATAAGAAATTGGCAACCAACTTTTCATGTACAATTTCAAATCCTTATGGCAGGATTGAATTGATTTGAGAGATCATTTTAAATGAATCTTAAGACAAACCAAAAAATTAGTGAATCATATTAGAACCCCCTCTAATTGATAATTTATGCGATTATTAATCAAATCCTATAATTAGATAGTCTATTTTATTGGAAAACAAATCAAAATTGGTTTAAGATTGCATTTTTAACAACTTTTCATCTGAAATTGATGCTATTGTTGCTAATTTATATGCAGAAAAGTAATTATTCATGATTTCAGATTAATAGAATGTATTAAGTGCTTGCATTTTTTAACTTGGAAATTAATCATACAGTTTATACAATTAATCTTCAAGGCTATTCATCTAAATAAGGAGTTTCTTACCAGCTCTAAAAATATTAAGATCATTGCTCAATTGATTTAAATTATTGAAGAATTCCCTCTTTCTGTTAATCATCTTAACCACTTTCTTCCTTAACCTTTTATTATTCTCTTCAGATTATAGAAATAGTTTAACAGCATGCTCTAAATTTTCAGAAAACTAGGCAGATTATTTAGAAAATCCCATGCTCATTGATTATTTGATCTATTCCTAAATTAAGTTGAGTTTTTATCGAGCAATAAATCCCATATTATTTAATCTGATATGGGAACTACTTTATGCATTTTTATCACCTATAGATTTAGATTTTTGCATGGAATGACTTTTGCCATCTGAACTATTATTTTATTCTTTTCTATCGCTTTTTTGATTGTTGAATTGATAATTCACTCCATGAGTAGCAGAAGAACTAAACTGGATCTATTCACTATCAAGTTAGGCTAAGAAATTAGATTATTAAAAGGCTTTCGTATTCAATCCTAGATAATTGATGAGAGATAAGTAATGCAAGAAGTAAGATTAGCGAGCAGAATCATCTTTTGTTCTTGAAATCATATTGTCGAAGCTCTTGACTTGATCCTTTAGATATAAGCCTACGACATCTTCAAATGAAACTGTCTATCTTTTGCATAGACATTTAGAATCGTCACATTCATCTAAGTGAGTTTATTTAAAGTAATGGATGTAAGTGATCTTTTTGGTCTCTTGTAAGTAATTTGATTGTAGATTACCATATTCATGGATAATATTACCAATTTTATATTACAACATGTCAGCTGTTATTTTGGAACTACTGGTTGTCATTAATGATTCATGTTGCTTTATTTCATAGTTATATATCAGTTCGTTTAAAATTGGTGAAATCAAGAGTATCAATAGGACATCATATGTATCTTGTTTTTATTCTGAAACCTAATTAATGAATAATATTATGGCCAATGTAATCTGGAAGAAATTGCATTGGATTTCAATCTTCTATCTATGATGCAGATTTGGATAACTCCAAATTAAGACCCAAAAATTGCTGGATTGCTTGATTAATGTTATGCTGAAAATTAAATAAAATTTAGTTAGATAGGAACTCTCCATTTAATCAATGACAATAATTATGAGATTCAATAGTGATTTCCAATAATTGCTGAAGGTGGCTTGTAGCAATTACAAATTTTGAGGGGTTATTGATATTGATTCTAAATTACAGAATAATTAAATCAAAAAGTTGGCGATCACAAAGATCAGTGTAATTATTGAAAATGATAAATGGATCATGTCAATGGATGAGCTTTGGGCATTATGAAATAGGGATATCAATGTAAATTCCATCATTGGAATAATCAGAATGTAATAGAGTAATGAGTGGAAGTATGACAATATTCTAAGAAGAATTTAAATTAATCGATTCTACGTTTTTAAAAATTCACTCAATCTGTGTTATTTCTTATTTTTCCCCAAATAAATGATAAATAAATATATCAGTACAATTTAATAGAGGATGGTGATGCATAATGGTATTAAGTAACTCAAATGTTTAAATTCATTATTTGAACTTAATTTGATTCGAGAAGCCAAGGAAATTTCTCTAATAAAGGTAAAAAAATTGATTCCCCTTGAAAAAAGTTCCTCTTGGTAATTCAACAATAAAAAGCTCAATTCCTAAATTGTCGAAATTATCAACACAATATTAATTATTGTGCTATTAAATCTGACTAAATAGTGTTCGCATAGTACTCTGACTTAAATATAAAATTCAATAAATCTTTCATCCAATGAACTTTTTTATTTTTATTTCTTTTTTTCCTTCTTCATTAGATCAATTTGAAAATTATCAACAATCAAAATTATTAAATTTACATAAAAATATCAAAGTTCGTATTTCTCAAACCCAAATAATTGATATATTAAAATTTCAGATTTATGAATTAAAGAAAGGGTCCGAAGTTTTTAATAACTCTATTCGAAATACTCGAAGTAGTTAATTTAATGAGACAAAGGGCGAAGAAAACATAAATGTAATTAGATGGAACAATGAAGGCGATGCCTTTGAAATTGTAAATGCGGATTTATTAGTCAATTCCATTTTGAGTGTACATTACAAATAATCAAACTTCTTTAGCTTTGTGAGGTATTCCCATCCAAGTATAATCATTAGACAATTGAATCAATATGGATTTAATAAATAAAAGATTGACAAGAATTCCTACTCCTTTCGACACAAATATTTTCTAAAAGATTAAAAGTACACCACTAAACGATATTTATTAGATAACTAATAGCAAAAATAGTGAGTTCTCACAAATAAAAGATTTTGGAATTTAAAAGGGAACAGAGAGAGAATGTGTTCAATGATGATGAACAAAATTTGTAAACTAAGACTATATAGGAATTGTAATAAAATCAACATAAGATCTTCAGTTAATTTAAGGAATAAATGAATAACCAAATGCAATTAAAATAATTGATCCTCCACTTGAAAAATGTATAAAATAAGTATTTTATCAGAAAATTGCTGAGTTCAACTTTTAGACTGAGTAGTAGTGTTTCGTAGCTTAGACTCTTTTAATTAAAGTAATTAAAACGATACCGAATGACGAACAATACTAATGTGAAACTGAATTATTAAAAAAGGTGCTGTAAGAATTCTCTAACATTTATTTGGAATTTTATGGGTACAATTAAAGTCAAAGGAGTCCCAACCTATCCATTTTATCACTCACTCCAGCTCCCTTTCAGATGAACGAATAGCAAAGAAGAAGTTTGGGTTTAGTTGATACGAACAAAGTGCATATCAACGAATAAATACAACAATACTTGAGCTGGGTGAAGGAATCATATGAAAGGGCAATCACAAGAAATGCTATTTGAACTATCAAACATGATTATATTATATATGATTATGGATACTAATATTCTAATTGTTATTGTATTATATAGTGAAAGTTAATTTGTATAAAATATTTTAGTTAGTCCAAATAATTTTCAGGTTTTTTTTGATTATGTTAGTAATGGAAGACTTAAGTGAAATAATTCAAAAAAATGATTAAAAATCTATAAGAAGAAATAGAAAAGTTTAGAACAACTTAGATTGAGATTTAAATAGAGAAGCATAAGCATTCATTGTCAGAAGATTCAGTATTATAATGTTATTTGGTAATGATCAACTCAGATCTTCAATAAGCATTAAAGGAATACATAAATCAATTGCTGGATTATGCTAAAACTCTACCTCTACCTTCGAATAATGAATTAGCAGTAGCATTTTCGCAAAGCTTCATCCCAATCAATACTCCGTTTATTAAGAAATTTAAGTAAGTAAAAAGGATCATCGAAAAGGTGAATTATAATGTCCTCAATCAGTTTAGAAAAATGTATGATGAAATGAGAAATGTCTAGTGTAAGAAGATGGAATAACAAATAAAGGAAAATGATTTTTCTAAATGTATTTGTGCGATCTATTAAAAAACTAAAACTCCCAAATCTATACCAAATGCCATAATTTTAGTTTGCTTCATGTGTCGATTTCAATTTCATAACAGCTGTTTAAGATATAAAATAAAAGATGGTCAACCATCGTTTGTGTGTCCATAATGTATACTAATGAACATGGATCCATTACATAAAGTAGAAAGCATGTTGTCCTGTCTAACCTTGGAAACAAGATCGCAGTCAGAAAAGAGCACAACTATGAATTTCCCCTTAAATTAGGTCGAACTAAATTAGTCATTGGATATTAGATGCATTCGATTGGATGGTTATAGATATGAATAATCTTGGCCAGACATTGGTGACTTGATGATCAACGGAATTAAAGTGGTCTAATTCAAACCATTGAAAGTGAACAGTTCTTTAAAATATAGAAAGGATGAATACTATACAGTGAAGAACCCAAAATAAGGATAATATCGAGTTGTGTTACGTTCTCAATCTAGTAATTTAAATGATAGAAAGAACTTTCAAATCAAAACAGATTAACTATTTTACTTTGGAGCATTTTTAGTTTCAGAGATTAGTTCAACAGAAATGATCTAACAATATTAATTCGATAAATCAAAGTGGGTCAATACCTAGTAAATGAAAGATAATATTTGCATGTATTCTAATCTCAATTAATCAGCAGATATAGCAGTCAATAAGATTTCAGTAAGCTTAATTTGTCAAATTACAACTTTGCCAATTAAGATCCCTTGCAGAGGAATTCTATGTGAACACATTTAATGTTTCTGCTTAGATAGTTTTTGTAAATTCATAGAATCCCTTACTTAAAAGAAATGGTCATGTCCTGTATGCAAAAGGATCTGCTTAGATTTTTATATTGACGGCTATTAATTTAGTATACTTGAATTTTTAAAGAGTTCTAAGGCAAACAAATAAAGTAAGTAAAGTTTTGAATAGCAAGTATCAAATATCAATTTTGATAGAAATGGACATTATTTGGATAATTTTATAGATGGTTCATAATTAAAATTTACACCTGGAAGAAACTATTTTAATGAGATATATTCATAAAAGAAATTAATAAAAGAAGACTAAATTGTTAAGATTTGATTTTATTTCATGTGTCAACAATTATTGTAATTATCTTATTAAGTAAACTATATATTAATAACTATTTCAAGTGTTTGCATCCTCTCTTATTGTTACTTACTTGAATTTTTAGTGTGTTTTAGTAACTTCTGGCTACATCGATTATTGGAAATCTCCATGATCATCCTTACTTGATAATTGTTACCCTTAACCTTTAATTAAATTACCCAAATTAGATTTGAGCACTCCCTTGCTCTTAACCTTCTTCACCTCCTTAATTAAGAAATCACTATATTTAGATAATGCTTAATTTGAATTAGCCAATTGAAGTTCTAAAAACTATATGTAATCCGTGTAATCCTTGGCGTCATTAACTGATTATTGAGTATACTTGTTCCTTATGTTAAGAGCAGTAGATAATGCATTAAATTCTGCGAAGTTGTGAAATGAAAGATAAATCTTGGAATTAAGTTAATTGAAGAAATCTTTCTCTATCTTTTCCAACATGATGAAATTATCATACAATTCTTCTAACAACATCAAAATCATAAATTAGACTTATTGCTTCTTCTCTTATTGCAATATCATTTCCATCTTCTCCATAGGGTTCATTAAAATCCATATAATAATTTTATGATCATTTTATAAATGGGAAGCTAATTCAATTAAAATTATAATACTTTTCAATATTGCGAATTTCTTCTCCAAACTATTTGCATTTTCTACTTGAACTAGCAGATCCTTTGAACCTTTACCTCTTAGTAATTCTATTGATTAATTATGTTAATATAATACATTAAACAAATTAGATTTGTACACTACTTACGGGTAAGAAATCGGTTTAATTAGATTCGTCAGCTTCATCATCTGCATCCTACTTATCGTTAGACTTTTAATTGATCACCTACATTTTACCTAGTATGATGATAAATTCTTACTTAAGACATCCCAAAATTATATAAACTAAAATTCTGGTACTATATTTTAATCCTTATAGTCATCATAGAGTTTCTTGTGATCATCAGCAGATACAGCAATTCTTTGAAGGGTTCTTTTGTCCCATCCTGCTTCATTCCAAAATGCTATTTTATGATAGATACAAAAATAAGGCTAAGCATTTAGTTTCTCTTTGTTACTTGAGTGAAGGACATTGCCAAACCACAATATAATTTTCTCATTCAATTTTAACTCTTACCATATTTAGAATAAACACACCAATTTACTAAACACACTGATAATTTATTAAGCATTCATGGATTTCAGATGATCTGCATTAAATTTAGCAAATTTGCTAGGTTCGGTTTGTATTTCAATAACTTGGTTATTCTGTTAATTGTTTACAGTTTTAATTGATTTCATTGATCTTAAGACGGATTTCTTTCTGCTTCCCTACCTTTAAATCTTCTCAGTATCTATATCGAAATACCTGACTTCATTAGAAATATCTAAAAGGGAAATATCAAATTCAACTTTATGTTATTTTGGCTATTTCACCTTACCTTTCTATTGTTATTACTATAATTTGAGTGTTTTTTATTTTTATTTAAATTTTTCTTATTCTTAAATTTTTGCTTAATATCTCTCTAAGTATTATTCAGGATTCTTCACTAAAATAATGTTAGTAAAGAAAAAGAATAAGAAGTCAATGGATCTAACTAAACTTTAGAATGTGTCTAATTATTTAATATTGAGATTAGAAATCTAAGTATCAATTTTCTCTATAAGGTTATGAGTGGCTTCTATGTATTAATCCTACTTGATGGTTTGAGCAAAGTCTCCTTAATCTTCTCCATGAATTTCGAATCCTAAATCCTTGTATTTCTTTTCGAAGTCATGGAATTGAAATTAGATGATCCAATCCATTTTCTAATTAGGTTATGGAGTATAATATTATTGAAAATTCAATTGATTTGATGCAATATCTTAAATGCCTTTTTCTAGTGCTGCTATCCATGTAGACACCTGAGTTGTTTTGAATTACTCACTTGCCAATTTCTTTCCAGTCAAATTTTACAAATTTGCTATGGCGTCATTTGCTGAATTATATATTTTAATTTCTTCAAGTGATTCAATTCTTTACCTATTCCCAGTAATATTTTTATCTTCATCAAAATCTAATTCAATTTTTAATTTATTATCGTCCTCTTCATCTTCTTCTCCACCTTCTTCGTTTATACTACTCTTACGACTAACCTTCTTATTGTTGTCATTCTCAAAAAGCATTCCAAATAACAATGTTCTATATTCCTTAAACTTTGCCTCTCCATATTTATAAATCAACAAAGTCAACTCTTTAATATCATGAATTTTCTTATAAATCCAATTCAAAATAGCCCATTCTGAATATACTTTATCTTCATCATCCTCCTCATCCTCTTCAGTATTTCCAACATCATCCTCCTCTTCATTCTTTAATTTCTCATATTCATTTCTCAAAATACTCATAATGGTGTCTACCAAACCCAACCTTTCTGTTTATTCACTATTTATTTCTATGAAATGTCCATCTAGAATAGCTATAAGCATTCTAATCAAAACCAATAGGATCACAATATTAATCAGGAAATAATAAAGTATGACACTTGCTTAATAGTTTTCTCCATCCGATTTGTGCATCTTAGCATTTTGACTTACTATCTACAGAGAGTATATGACTGATAAATATAGGTCTCTAAATGATCCATTTACATAACCGAAACTTAGCACACCAACACAAGCAAAAGCAAAAACAATCAAACAAAACATAATCATGAAGAATACAATATCAATACTTGCACTAGCGATGATATCCAGAACCAAACTCAATTTTGCAGAAAATGAAAAGTAAACCATTATCCTTATCATTCTATTTATACAATTTAAATAATTTACTCATTGAATAAGATGAATGAAGCCATTGTATTGTACAATTAGAACAATTAAGCAAGATTTTAAAAGTCATTGAACATTCCAGGTGGTTCTTTGTCTGCCTAAAAAATAGTTAATTTAAATGCTTTACAAATAGAAATCCTTCATAATAATCAAATGACATTCTCAGTTAATTGAAAACTATCTAAAGCCAATAGATTATTTAAATGAACATCAACAAGATACCTGTTATTAAAAGGATATTGAAAAATGTCTGCTAAACCATAATCTTAAGACTCGTCAGCAGACGCATAATAAATCCATAAATTCTCTTTCCTATACCAAATAGTAGATTAACAATCTGATCATTCTTTTTGTCTGAAAAATCCATGTTTAAATGTCTTTCTACAAATGAGAACTTTCTTTCTGGGGGTAAATCATATGGTGTAAATTCAATTGCACTTGGATGATTCCAAACTTCCTTCCATTGATTTAAGAACATTTTCCAAAATTTAATGTGAAAATACAACACAATCAATTCAAAAACGATTCTTGTGAGTCTGCTACCAGAGTACAAAGTTATTGGAAACGTCTAAAGTAATGAAATCAAAACTATACATTCAAAGTAATAATGTGTTCTATCTAGCCAGTAGCTTTTATATATATTGTAACAGTAACAAAGGAATATAAATCTTAAGGGGGATTGTAAATGATAAATTCACAATTAATTATTCCAGTCTAATTTATAATTAATAAAAGTTAATACCGAAACAGTAAAAAAACTATCAGATTGAATTTTTTAATATTGTTCTACAGCCCCACTAATCTCACTCTAAAATTGGAATGTATACCCTCCTGCTTAGTAGGCAGCGCTCGGATTCCCTTTTCCTCTGTATTGATACTCTATCCCACTCTTATACAGATTTTCCATTTTCTCTCCGGAAGACTCACCAGAAAAAGGTGAAAAGTCTGAAGAAGACCTACCTCTAAACTCTAAATCTTTGTTTTCAGTGAAGAAATTCACATTCAATCCTTCATATAACCTAATCGTCATTCTAACAGGAGAGTAGCCAACAAAAACATCAAAATCTCTTAACTATTCTTTGCTATAATTATTATCGTAATCATCTCCTGCAGTACTAAAGATAACGTTTTTAATGTAACTATCAATATCCCTAGAGGATTCTACATCATCAAGAATGATATCATGACTTTTGAAGTGTTTAACTCCTGGGAATAAACTAGAGTCAAAAAAAGATTTGATATAATATTCTTGATTAAATGTGCTTGATTTAAGGGTTTAATTTTAAAATCCGATGATCAGGAAAATCAAGAAAATGATATGTAAAAACCCATCCTTTAAATTAGTAAATAAATTTTTCTCTTTCATTTCCTTCATCTCTTTTCTGTTTGCAGCTTACCTTTTTATAATTTCCTCCTTCTTATCATTGATCTCCTTGATTCTTTGTTATTTTGTTAATAGATCCTCCTATCCCAACCCTATGAAATTCATCACAACATTCTTAATATCCAACTGTTGAAAATTGTACATAAAAATTTCCTTGAGAGTTAATTCTTTCTCCTTTTCTTTGGGTTCCTCAGGCTTAGCTGCATTTGGCTGTGCTTTTTAAGGAGACGAGGCATCGTCATTTTTCTTCTTTAATAAACCTTTAATTTAATCTGGCCTGACTGATTTTATCGAAATACCAGATTTAATAGATTTCTAATCAGATAAGGGTGGTTACCCTGAAGACAATGGAGTTTTTGTTTTTTTCTTTTTCTTTGCTTCTTCCTCCTCTTTCTTTTTTCTTTCTGCCTCTTCCTTTTTCTGTTTCTCCCTTAATTATTGTTCTTCAGTCACAGGAGGTACGAAGAATATGAGATTGATCCATTTCATTGTAGCAGCAGTAGATTTATCTGCAGCAATTTCAGCCAAAGCTTGAGTAGTGAGTTGCAATTTTTATCTTAGTTGTCCGTAAGTTAAAATGATGATTCCGTAGAAATAGGGGAGGAGGATAAGATTAAATGCAATGAAAAAGAGAAGGGAGTAAACGAAACCTAAGCCTGGGACTATTGATTCCAGAAAGGCAAATTTAAAGTTACCACAAAAAAATTCAAAACATAGGTAGGCTGCATTTCCAAGGGTAGCTATTTCGTCATTCAAAGGCCCGAAGATTACATTGGATATCATAATAAAACTAATTAAGGCCATGGCTGTGAACTAGGATTATCATACAAAATGCATACCGAAATAAAAATGAGCATGTCCTTTCCAGCCACACTAAATGTATACATTAAGACACCAAAAGTAGGAAAGAATGATGACATAATTTTGATTATATCATAAATGGTTATGATGAAAGTTGTAATGGCAAATAATTGATAGGTATTCGAATTCTACAGATAGTTATCAATACCTGCAATTTGCTCTTGAGTGATTTGAGGAGTGATTGAAATCGCTTAAAATTGTGAAAACATTAAAAACCATACAATGATGTAAATGAAGTTTAATGTTCTTTATGCTGTTATGAAAAGTAAGTCAAACTCAAATTCAAAGATTCTGGTTGATAAGAATTTAATAACCATGAAAAATATTCTCTATAAAACATTAGCATTTATTCAATACCTTTCCAATTGTGTAAACTATCTAAAAGAACACCACAGCTGCAAACAATGACTTCGTGACTATACCGAATACAACATTTGATTGCACATTGCTCCCCTGATAATAATAGACTCCATAATCTATAACTTACTGATATTAAATTCTGCCTTGGTTGCTAATGTCGAATTAATTAGAAATTTTTAGAATTACTTCTGTCAAAGGGTTGACCATATAAATGTCATGTTTTAGATTGAAAAGAGAGGAGAACTAAAATTGGCTTTCAATTATTGATAACATTTCCGAAGCAAAGGCTTGTTCCATAGTATTAGTAAAGTATATTTTGGTTTAAAAAGAGCCTTCAGATTCTATGGATGGTATTAATATATTACATTCAACGGTTATGTTGGGTAAAAACTTTTTATCAATTGTAGACATGTTGATTTAATTAGCAAAGTTCATATCCCATTGTTGTTTCAACATATTATCTGCCATAGTGTAGATGTCAGTATTCTGGATCCCAATGATTTTCCTGACAAACTCATCTGATTCCTTGGGATATATAAAATAAATACCAGATCTTACTCCACGTGCTTGAGTGTAAAGGAAACTACACTACATAGATAGTAATTATAGTTTTCCAAAAATATATATTAACTCTCGTTATATTGACTTGAATTCTCAATTTAAGGATTATACAAAAGACTAAACCGGTTCCGATCCTCAGAATGATCATGCATATAATAAATAATTTTTTCGAGGTACTCACTATATATAATGGGAACATCTTGTATCTCATGCAATTAAGTAGTAATTCTATTGAGATGATTAAGACAGTTACCTCTAATTGATGTACTTCTAGATACTCTAACGAGTCTCATGCACTTCAGGGATACGATATTCCAAATAAATTTGAATTATCAAAACGACATAGATCACTAGTAACATACTAAATATAGTTAGAATTGTATACAAATTCGTGCAGAAGCCAGCATCATTGGCTATAATTTGCTCTATTTCATCTAACACATTGTTTGAGGAATCTTTCTCCTTCTCTGACTTTTCTCCATTCCCAACCTCCTCTTCTTTCTTGTTCTCAGAGATCATCGATTTGTCATCCTTATTAATGGATTTTAGGATCTCCTCCTCCTCACCAATTACTGATTGTCCTTTCCGAGACATTTATATTATATTATAATTATATATATGTAAAATAAATAACTTGTAAGCAGAACCACTACAAGACGAAATTTACTACAATCTTAGAGTGTTCTCGAGTAATCACTTAAATCGTCTATTTTGTAAAAGTCCAATTTCCATTTACAAATACAATCGCAAGTAATTTCCAACAACAACAATCCAAATCATGAGGACAAATAAAATTCACAGAATCCTTACTTCAATGATTTGAGTGGTATTAGTCACGATTCCGAAAATGACATTTTTAGAGATTGTCCTACTTATAAAAATGGCCCCAAGTCTACAGGATCACTCAAATCCAGATCAAAAATACTCAATTAAATGGCATACATCACTCAAAAGATGATTCCTGAGTTCCAGAGAGGAATTTAATTGATTTCGCAAGCCGAGTATAAAGGATTTTTATAAGAGGGATAAAGTCCTTGATTTTCGAGTCGAACAGACTGAATAACCAGTGCGTATAAGCAGTCAATAACTTGGTCTCGGAGAAATTATGATCAATTATCAACAAGACAAAGTATGCACTATTCATTCTATATCAAAATACTTAGCATCCTATTGAATTGCGGCCAGAATTGTGGAATGTGCAATTAGTCAGACAAATGGAATTTTACTATTATAAATTGCGTTCCAAATAATAACCAGTCCCCCTGCAGTTTTATATGAATTAAAGTGAAACCACAAATTTCAAAATTTTCGTATCTTCTGTCAATCCCTTCCCAACCAAATTCTCATGTGATCAGATCATTTCAGTCAAGGGATGGAAATATAAAATAGATGAATCTAAAACATTCCATTGCGATTACATCTACATTAGCATGGTTTGTGATTTAGATACCTAAGTTAAACTTAAGTTTTAGTTTGGTAATAGATTGTTGAAAAGACCCTAAACTATTTCAAGGAAAATTGAACCATCCTCATTATTCATAAGAAGTGTTCATCATTAGTAATTGGAAAGAATGAATTCCGATTTATTAAACGCCTAAGTGGCCGAGATTAAGAAAAGAAGAAAAGAGAAATTAAGATAACGTGGGATTTTTAAAGATCTAATCAAAGAAAATATTCAAAAAGTAATCGAATATAATGAAGAACATTAAAGAAGCTTTAGAGAACTAAGAAAGACATAAGGAGATAATAGAATAGAAGATGTGTTATGTAGAAAAAAGTTGATGAGTCAAAATGAATAATAAAGGAAAGAATACTAATAAAAAACTAAAGAATTAAGTAAAATTATTCGATAGAGACACAATTTTGTTTTAACTAAAAAGAATCTCAAAAATAGAGTGTGCACACATTGGTTTAATAGTATTTACATGTCTCTAATTTGTACTAAGATTTATTTCATGTTCTAACACAAAATAGAAGCCTAAAATCAATCAACCTTGATGGCATTTTAGGTGAAAAGAATAATGAAACGAATTCATAAAAGATTAAGCGCAATAAAGGGAGTTACTATTTATGATCGAGTGTTTTTCGATGTTAAATTGTAAATTATAATGTCATCATTTTATTTAGAGTATTGCAAGGTTTTTGCAAGGCTGTATATTCGAAGTAGGTTAAGTTGCATATAGAGAAGATTGTACCACACTTAAAAACAAGAGCTGAAATTTATCATTTAAAGAGTTAAGTGCTCATTACAAATCTTAAAATTTCAAAGATTCGAATGATGTTTTTAGAGTTTTTGTTAAGATACAAATCTTATAAATAGATGCTTCATAATATTTGGAACAAATATTTCAAAGAATAATTCTTGAAGTATTATAATGGATTAGATCAATCAAAGAAAGGAACATATCAACCATACATCATTTAATTATAGAATCAGGATTATTTCATGTAGTTTATTGTATTTAATTATTAGATAACTTTAAAGCATATTTATTGAAACTTATAGTAAAGATAAATTAAGGAAGTATTTAAAAGATATGAGTGACTATGCCAAATATCTGAAAAAATTGAGGTCTCAAAAGTATAACAAAACAAAAAGGAGAGATTTTGCCAACGAATAAGTCTTACATTCGCCACGAATGTTTCAATTACCAACTTATGATGATGTCTTGGAATATCTTCCTTTGCTTGTGGTTAACACTAATAAAGTTGATTTGAGGACTTCGCAATAGATGCAACAATCATAAATGCCTTTGATACAAGAGTCTTAGGAGAAAAAAAAGAAGCAAGCAAAATCAAAAAAATGAGTTTAATATTTAATTAATTATGTAATGGATTAGAGACTATATGAATCTGATAATTTAGACCAATTTGTCACCATCCTTAAATAGTGCCAAGTTCATTACTTTTTAGATTCTGATCTACTATTTGCAACTCACACATTTCATCACTCAAAACTATGATGAAAATGTTTTCAGATTGATTAAAAACATATCAGAAATTTGTGTTTTGACTCCATTGCTTTAAAGTATCTATGCAGTAAATGTTTTGACTGGCATATTGCTAATCCTCTTAAATTTAATACCCTATCTAATAATTTTGCATAGAAAATTAACATATGAGCATTAAAAAGTAGCAATCATATCCAAATCATTATCACAGGTACAAGCAAACATTAAATTAAGTATGCCACCAAGTTGGTGAATTGTTATTTCCTGTATTTCACATGGTTTCTTTACTTGCCGCAGATGCATTACATAGGTTGGAACTTTTTAAGTCAAAAGGACCTATTTCTTATTGTGATATCTACGATTATCCTTTGCATTTCAACAGGATCTTTGTTGATTTCAAACATCTACTTCATCAATTTTGAATTTAATGAGCAGTCATTACGAAAACATTTCACTTATTATAATTGTTATGCACAATTATTGATCATTCCAATGGCGATCTTAAATTAAAGTGCTGAATCTTTATACTAATTGATTGGTAGAATAATTCATGGTATCATCCTATTTGTCTTAATCTATGAGGCCTATGTCGAATTACCATTTGGGTAAATGCATTTCAATAATATTTAGGTTCTCTAAGTACTCGACCGTCTACAATCGATTATTAATAATGCATATCTTGCTGTTTATTTTCACATCGTATCTATATTCATCTCCAGAACAAGCTTATAGTTTATTAGCTATTATGTTGATACTGCAACCAGTCTCATAATATCTCTTTTAAACACTAATATAACACAAGAGACTGAAGACTTATCACAACACTGTAAATTAATATTATGAATTGTTAATTATAGAAGATTTCTTTGATTTAATATAGGCTGCTTAGAAAAGCAAGAAAAGAATCATTGAGTTAATTTAGAAATTTAGTTTGCATTTGAATCGTTGTCAATCGGTTAAATGTTAATGTAAAAAAATAGGTGCAGGAGGTGTATTAAGATAAGAAGATGCAGTCATTTTGACTTCTTGTTTATTTAGAATTGGATTTGAAAAACATAGAAATGATTCCAAAAATTTAGAAATTTACAGTCTCAAATTTCTTACCTTCATAAATAAATACAGAAATAATGCTCCCAAAAGTTATCAAGAATTGAAGATATTATTTTAAAAGAAGCGAGAATATTCATTTTATTTCATTTAAATTTCACTCTTACTACAGTTCATTCTATAAGCTTAGATGTAAAAGGATGAGGATTATAATATCAATAAGGATACAAGGGTCTCAAATGTGAAATTATAAGTAAGCAAAAGTGAAAGAAGTATTGTATAAACTTTATATCAAATGGAATAAATTAAACAGAATCTACTGCCCTTGTTAATGTAATTGACTCAATTTAAGGTTCAATTTTGGAAGCAATATTTGGCTGGTAAATTTTCGAATTTCTCTGAAATTGAAATTGAAGTTAAAAGATTGCAACTCTTAAAAAACTAAATCTTAAATCAAATCAAAATTTATTAACCAATATTCTACACTCATGGTCGTACATTTAATGTTCAATTCCTTAAATACAGTGCTCTAATCGATTTGCTACTATTTAACAATGTTAGAAGGTATTTTGAGTTAGAAAGAGGTAATTGATAGTATTTATTTGTAGAAAGGAGAGAAATATTATAATTAGAGAAGAGCATGAACTCTTTTGAGATAACAAATATTAACTTTTTTAAAGGAGAAGCCATTTCAGTGAAAGTTTGTATTGCATAAGGTCCAAACATTGGAAAAGTTTTAAATGAGGTAATCTCACCATTGATTCCTAAATTTTTTGGGTTTCATCACTTTGATAATCCCTTGGAAGCTTTTCTAGATTTTACAAAGGGAAATATCAATACTTTGATGCCTACTTGGTTAGAGCCTGTTCATGATGAAATTATGTAAAATTATATAAGAAGAGGAGGAACTGCTAGGATAGGTAAGTACTTTTAAACTTTTGCAAAGATATATGATAAAACTTTGATTAGATGTTAAGTCTATCTGGCTCATAATTTTAGTTAGAATTTGACTGACGATTTCACTATGATTGGTTGTCTGAAATCCTTAGAAGAAGATTAACCAAAAATCATACCAGGAAAAGAACCTAAAAAAATTAAGGATGTGGCTTTTAAAGGCACTTAACATATTTTATTTGATGTTAATGGAACTATATTGGGAATCACACAAGGATTATATTAAATGATTGACAGATTGCAAAGGACTAAAAGTAATTAAAAGGTTGAATCATTGAAAAACCACAGTCATGAAAAGAGTAAATCTGAAAACTCATCAATTGAAAGTGAGAGTTTTGATGTGTATTAATAATAATGGTCGAACGAATTATTAAGAATAGATGACTTTTATTAAAAAGTGTTAATATGGATGTTATTACCATTCGTGCCCAGGGAGATAGAATAAACTGGTATAGAATACTTGATGGATGGAGAAACTCCACCCAAGAATCGATATCCAAATTTAGTAGATCTAGAAACTAGTAATAGTATAGTAAGCAATAAGGAAACATATTTATTTATTCCTGAAGACATTAATTTATTCGTATCTTAGTATGAAAAGGTGTTACAAAAAATTATGGATGATGTTCGTGTTCAATCAAACAACTTTTCTTCAGGATCATACAAAGGAATGAAAAGTGAATACTAAGAAAGTGAAAGCTTTAGTGCCCAATAAACTGTAACTATTTACAATGAAAAATTGTGTAGCTTCTACTTTGATTAACATCTAAAAAGTCATTAAGCCTTGTAGTTTGGCACCACAAGATAATCAGAAATACAAAAGTCTTCCATGAAACCCTCTTCGTAATCATAAGTTTCCTTACATAGTGAAGAAGATAGTGAATAACTGAAAACAAAAGCTGAAAAAATCTACTATGATAAATACACTAAATACATTGAAAAAATTACGCTTCAAAATTTCAACCCTGTTCCTATAATCTATTCTGTGAATTATGAAGAATATAGATATAAAAAGAATGATGTTGGACAAAAATAATAATTTTTTGTAATTGAATTAGTTGTTAATGAATCATAATTATTAACTACTATGGGTTATAAGCGATAAGTAAGGGAAACCATTAAATAAGCTTGTTTAAATTTTTAATCCAAAAGACTCTTGATTGAATAATAAGTATAAACTGAAGATTCAAATAGTGTTCAAAGCAATATTAGTGAATAAATAAGTGATCACGATGGAGAGGTAATCAATTACATGTTCCCAACTCATCCATCTCATTATTACGATGATCTATATTTTCAATCTCCTAAACTTGATCAAGATTCTAATTAATTCCAATCAAATGATGATAAAAATGAACCCTAAAAAAAATAGAGCATTAATACATAGGATTCATTAATGAAAGGCTCTTTAAAATTAAAATTCCCTGAAAGGAATCTAGCCTTAAAAACCATGAATAAATATTTGGACAGAAAGAGATAACAAGATTTCTTTAATGAAACTGATTCTAAATTAGCTATTGATAGTAGAGCTTCCCAATAATAAATTTAAGAAGAACATTAAGTCAAATATTCTGAAAATTTGAAGCTATTTGACTAAAATTATAAATCAATACATTCTAAAATGGAAATCTTTAAAAATCCAACCTCCTTTAAAATCTAAAAATATCTCCTATATTTTGTGCTCTTTTTAATAATCGGATATATTATCTTATTAACAATAGCTGTTTTGCAACAATATAATTTTAATGAATGTTTTGATTTAATTGAATTAATGCTATCAACTCAATAAAGCTATTCATAAATTACACATGGACTTTATCGTTTAGAGTTATCAAATAAATTTAGCATTGATAAAAATTTAACTGAATTCTATTCTATCTAAATTGATTCTAATCTCCAAAATTTAATCAATCTATAAAGTGAATAACTGATTAATATCAATTAAATTAACTTTAGTGTCAATTAGTTTTATAACATAGAATACTAGATGACTCCCAATCCTACCTTGCAAGAGACTATTTAGATGAGCTTGGCTTAATTTTATAAAATCAAAAATAATACTGCTAATAATTCACAAGTTACATTAATCTCAATAGCTAATTTAAAGGAAATAGGATAACTACCTAAGTTAGCGTACGATAATTGTTACGATGAAAAGGTATAAAATGAAGAGCAACTCTAATCCTTATTAACAATATATATGCTAATTATTTTCTTTTTGGTTATGTTATTGTAGTTTTTGTAAGTTCCATTGATATCAAAATTAAAAAATGATCATAGGAGACTTTACAAACTAGTGATCAAATTATAAATGTTTGAAGTGCAAGATGAAATTGAGACCTATGAGCATATACTGTCGATATTCAAAAAGTCATTATACGAATGGATGTTAATTGATTTTGTATAAGAAACCAGAATGTTCGAAAATAGTCTTGATAATATGTAATTTTAAACCTAACAATTAACTGATTAGAGCTAAAATCTCCTGCTTAATAATAGTAATAAAAAAAATAAATATAAATTATTAGAGAAGTTAAAAAAGTAGCGCATCAATTAGTTTAAATACATTATAATATTGATGATGGGATTAATAGTTATACTAGCTTATTTTTTAATTATTTTCTTTGTAATTTTTATACTTTCGCAATAATTATTTGCAAATGCAGATTTCCTATTTAAGTTTAAATTAATCCAATCTTACTTTATTAACATTATCAACAACATTGATTTAGTATGCTATAATACATATGACCAATAAAGTTTTATTAATCTAATGAGCCAAGAGGAATTCAATAATTATTCGTTATCATTAAAAAGCGATTAGTAAGACTAATACATAGAATTCAACAATAATTTTGCTTCAATCGTGAGCGATGAACAATTAAAATACAATTTACAATAAATAAATGAGAATAACATATGTCTGGATTAAATAGGGATTGCTTGTAATGAAACTGCTTCGTTTAAATTCAATCCAAACATCCTCTAGTATTATTAACATGGCATGAAGTATTTAATCACTTAAATTGATAAATTAATTGAATCGTAACCGCATTTTTTCTACGATAGTATTAATAACAATTCTTTGAAATAAGTTTAAGATTTTTATAGCAATAATGATCATATCGTATACATTGATTATGGAAGTGAAATCTTAACTTCAGCATATGCAAAATTAGTTGAGACTGCACATTAAGAGTTTGATTAAGCATTAACAATTTATAAATAAACATTACTGATATTCATTTTGAGTGTGGGAATGATGGGATTGTTGATTATTTCGATTTTAGGTAGATTATTACTGAATATGCAACAAGATTCTATTAGTACATGCTAATCATCACTTCTTCTCATTTCTCCTAAAAGATATTTGAATCAAAATATAGCATAATTAACATAGAAAAAAAGATGAGTGATTTTTTATCTTATCCATTTAAAAAATTAAGACATTATTTTTTCTATTACAGAATTTATTCTTGCTATATTATAAATTCTTATTGATGTTAAGAATGACTTGTTGTTATTATAGTAAATATTATTATAAGATTGAAAAAATATTTTAATTAATGAACCCAACTTTCAAATAATCACAACAAATAGAGAATAGCAGTAACATTATGGGCAGTAGCGCTGGATTCAATAGAAAAATCAAACTGGCTTCGTAAAGACCTGGCAGCAGAGACTAAAAACTAAAAACTGGAGAAATGTAATTTGAAAATGTTTACTTTAATAGATTTCCCTAATTCTAAGACCCACTAGCCACCAATCCCTTTAATTTGCAGAGTCTTAACCTTTATTAAGACGAAAATACTTTTATTACAACTATGAAAGCAGAACTTCTTTAAATGCAGGAAGGAATCAATAAATTAGATTTTGATGGACGAGTACTAATAAACAATTCAATTTTAGATTCGAAATAACGATCCAAGACAAGAATATAGGTTACAATAAGTGAAAAAGTGGGTTGCTTAAAATTCTTAATCTAAATTAGCACTTGAAAAATTAAACAATATTGAGATCTCATAACTTCTTACTGTATTAGATGTTCAAACTTTAGAGTAATGATTGTAATATTATTTAAGGGAAGCTATTGTTAAACTCTATAAATTCATATCGATCATGGATAGTGTAATTATGAAAGTTACAGAGTACTAGGCAATTCATTTGATCAAATTTGATGAATTGTTTAGTTCATTGTGTCCCAATTATTAGGAAAATTTACAATAAATATCTGTTTTGAAATTTCCAATTACTATTGCCAATATAAACCGCATGACTGAATTATATTAAGTTAAATAAGATAAAACTTAACCATAAAAGTTAACAAATGATAATAGCAATAACTAGGTATTTCTCAAATAAATTAAACAAAAAGATGATTAAATTAGCGAATTAAATAAAACAATTAAGCAATTATAATTACAATTGTAAGCAAGTGTGAAAGGAAATAATAATAATAATAATAATAATAATAATAATAATAATACTAATAATAATAATAATACTAATAACAATAATAATAGCAGTAAAAACGAAAATTCTTAAGAACAAATTGAATAAATTAGAAATGAATATGAAATTGCATTGCAGAAACAATCTGAGACTTTAAATTTAAAACATGAAAAAGAGATAGAGATGTTTTAAACTTAGATTGAATAGTTTTAGAAATAATTTGTATAATTAAAAAATCATTATGAAAAATAATTATCTGAGTTAGTATCAGAAAAATAATAAGAATAACTAAACATAAAATCTTAATATGAAGATAAATTACAATAATAATAATAATTGTTCTAATAATAATAGTAATAATAATAATAATAATAATAATAATAATAATAATAATAATAATAATAATAACAATAATAATAATCAACTTAAATTCAAACTTAAACTAATACATAATAATAATCAAATGGAAATGCTAAAGATCATAATTATTATCAAAAGATTTTGGACAAAGCACAACAAGAGTATAATGAAAGATATAAGTTTTTAGAAAATGTAATCTTATCTTTACAATATAGGATTTAATCAAATTAAGGAATTAATTGACGGAAAAATAAACCATAATTGAAAGTCTATAAAGAGAAGTTCAGCAATGGAAAGAAACAATTGATAGATTAAATAAAGTTAAGGTAATTTGAATAACTTAATTTAGGACGATATCTATTAACAATTTTAAAAGCGATACACTACATAAGAGCAATTTTCAAATTCATATGAGGCAGCATTAAAATTGGAATTTGAAACCATGAAAAAAGCATTTGAATAAAAAATACAAAAATACTAATAGGATTTGGAATCTCAAAGAAGAGAAGCAGGGAGATCTCTAAATGAAATACGAGTGTAGTTGGAAAGAGAGCAAGAAACAAAAAAATTATTATTGAATAAACTTAGTTTATATAGTTGAAATTGATATTATAAATATAGATTAAGTTACTTTTAGATTAATAAATAATCCTATTTCTAATTCAGTTTAAGTTCTGGATTTTTTAAATAAGAAGAATTTCTAGAATAGAACTAATAGCTGTAATTCATTAATTTTGTACTATTTAAAATAAATTAATGTTGTCTCATATCTTTAATAATGAATCCAAATAAACTTTTAAAGCTTGGCCTGCTAATTTAGAATCTGGGATTTTTTAGGTTGTACCATACAAAGTTCCCATTTCTCCACCTTTTTAGTATTCTGATGGATTAGCTTTTATCTAAATTATAAGATTTTGATTACTTTGTCAATTGCAGCCTTAATATCATGGACATATTATTTAAGATTACCAATGTTTTGTTGGGTTAAACTAATATGAATACCTGCTGGCTTTTATACACTACTAATTGTCCAACCTTAATGAGTTAAGATTTCATGAATGGAATAAACATTAAGCCAGTTTTCTTTGCTCATGAAAGTAACACAATTAATTTAGGGTTTTCCACAAACTTTAATTTCTGGTATTTCAGATAATTATTTTGCCAAAGATTAGGTGGCATCCATTATTTTCTTACTGTATTCAATATACTTTTTCTTACCAATAGATTACAAAGTGAACCATGCACCAGCCACACCTACTCCACATTTAGATCCTTAGACACTTGGTGAAGCATAGGCTCCTCCAGACCAAGTTGCAATCGAAAAGAAGGCATGCTCACGTAATTATTTAGTTTTAAACAATACAGTTGAAACCCCTTTAGGTGCTAAGCCATGTTTATGTTAATCGCATGAAATAGATGTGACGCCATCCAAAGTGAAATCAAATTTACCTAGATCAACTCCATGTTCTTTTGCAAAAATAGCAGTGAATCCTCCCAGACATGCATCAATATGAAGACCAATTTTCTTTTTTTTAGCAATTGATGCTAATTGTTCAATGGGATCACAGGTTCCAAATCCAAAATTTGGAAGAGATCCAACAATACAAACTGTATTAGAATCAATTTGACTTCTAAGATCATTAACATCTACTTAAAAGGTTGATTAATCAATTTTAGCAATTCTCACTTGAATTTTAAAATATTCTCCTGCTCTATAAAAAGCTGCATGAGCTGTTTCAGGTATGACTCTAAAATATTTAGAATGTTTACATATTTGGTTAGCTAATTCCTTTTTATGATTCTCCCCAATTTCTATATGCTAACATAGCTAAAAGGATTGACTCTGTTCCTCCAGTTGTGACTATGCCTATGCTTTCCTTTTCTTATCCAAATAGATCTCCAGTCATTCTAATAACTTCTGCTTCCATCTGCCTTGTTGCTGGCCAAAGATCAGCATGCATGGGATTAGAATACAGAAAGTGCTTACAAAAATCTTGAGCATTTTTTATAAATTATTTATCTGGCATTACGTACAATGAACCAGACACTTTACCACTGCCATAATTTTTACTATCTCTTTCTATCCATTCTTCCAGTTTTTCCATCATAGTATCAGTATCAATTCCATTATCAGGAAGCTTTAATGTTTTTTTTGTTGTCATCTTTTCCATTGAATCGCTGAAAGATTGCAAAGCATCTTATTTCTTCTTTTCAATGTAGGAGTTAACTCCTGGACAATAGTTTACGAGGAATAAAAATATTTAAGCCTTAAAATACCCAAACAAGCCTAAATATGAGATATATCCTTACTTTGATTGTAATCTCTGTTTGGAAATTTCAGATTTCTTAATGCCCACAGACCTGACACACACAAAATTGACACCAATACTGCAGTATCAAAAACATCGAAAGACCTTGTGTATTCTTGTATTGGTGTTTGTTTGTACAACTCTTTGATATACTGCTTAAAGACATTATATTCCCGAATAACTATCGGCAATAATTATTCCATTATTAAAATAAATCATTATATTTAAGTTAAGTATTTTCTATCTTTCCTAGAAATAAACTATGCGTCTCTATTCTTTTTCTGAACCAAGACTGGCGAAAATAGTATATATTGATTAGAATTTGTATTCGAACTCTAAGTAGTTTCCTTTAATAACTCACATGGTTTCGAGGACTTTATTGTTTTGTATGAATCCACTGAAACATAGTCTGATATTGAGTTCTCCACTAAGATCAACTATACAACTTACTGTCAACAAATTAAATAAGGAATTGAGATAATTGATCAATATCTTTGGACTGCTCAAATGAAGTTATCGCATTCATGAATCTGCCATTACCTTTTGTGATTAAATAATCTGTTACGATTACACTATTAGTACCTTTTAGTATGCCCTTCTAATCTAATGAGATTGTATTGTTCTAATAGAGAGTATAGATTAAGTATAAAATTCTCGCTTCATTGGATTCAAATTGATTCATATAAATTATATTTTATTTTAGATTATACTCTACTCTCTAATAATTCTAAATTCGAAATTAAAACTCACTCTACGACTTTCACAGTTTTTAGACGCCAAACTCAATTTCGAATAACAATTGTGTTCTAATTCTTATCGACTCTTCAAGATTAGATAAAATTATAATAATAAATATTCTATCTACTTTGAAACTTGAAGTTTGAGATCTTTTAACAAATTTAAGCAATTTTGAATCAAAACATATATTGTGATATCAAAAATTAAAAATAACCTAGTTTCCGCAACAAAATTAATTATTTTTTCAATTCAATTAAAGTCATTTACATTCTTTTACAATCCTTTTTTCAATCTTTTCTATAATTTGCAATACGAAAAAGTTAGCGCTTTTCTAATATATCGGGTTTCTTAATTGTAATATTTAGAACTAATAATCAAAATACTATACCAAAATAAATTTTTATGATCTTTCAAAGTCCAATCTTTTTCATACCCATTCCAACTTTTTTTTGTCATCTCATATTAAATTAAGAAAGCTTTTATGCTTATTATCAAAAATAATTATTTTTATAGATGTTAATTTAGTGTTGAAAGATCCTTAATTATTACACTAATGTCGAAGTTCTCATATAAAGTGCTTCCTTAAGAACAGAATACTTTATATAAACTCTTCATTACACAACCTTTATATTATCAATAATGTAAATTAAAAATTTGTAGAGCTGCAATGAATGTGACTGTTTTGTAATATTTTGAGTAAACCTATATTTATTCTTCAACAATATATCTTACGAAGAAATATTCTCTTTGTTTTTTGTGGATTCGGGAATAAATTAATGTAAATTTATAAAATAATGATCTAAATTAACATTAATTGCTAAAATATTACAAATTTTACACAACTTTTAATTAATCAAAAATATCCTTTTACTTAATCTTGTCGCTTATAATCTGAGATTTTTGGTTTGTATTGCGATCTCTATTATTTATTTTACAAAATTTAAAAGATCAAATATGATTTATCTACAGTTATGAATTAGAATAGCTAGTTTGACTTACAGTATTTAAATTCAACGATTATCTTTCTAATTGACTTTTTAATAAAGAAATTTTAATTTTTGAACCTTTTTATCGTTTAAATGAGTGCAGATATTTAAAATTCTTTTTCCTTAATTTATCTAATGTATTTTAATGAATTTTTTTTTTCTTTATTATATGAATTCAAGAATTTGAATTAATGATTCTCTAAATTCTATATGACTAGTTGCTCTAATTCAAACTACATATATATGGGATTATTTAATTGAAAATTTTGAGAGTAAATCTTTTTTAATTATAAACTCCTTATTTTTATTTCTCTGATCTAACTAATTTTCTTTAAGTAATCCAAAGGATTATTTGGAATATTATCAATTATAATTGAATAGTCTAATATTTTAGAGTAATTCTTTGCTATAAATAAATTTTAAGTTTTAAAAGATTAAATGATTTCTCTAAATTTCGAATCTCAATTAATTTATTGCTTATTAAAGATAGTGTAATACAAAATTCTATAATTTTTCATAGCTTTATTAAATATTTCAAACTTATAGAATTAAAAGAAAATTTAAAAGCTGTAGGAGACACTAGATATATATTAGATTGAGTTCTTTTCTTCAATTCAATTAAATTTCTAGCATTGTATAGTATTATATTTAGTTATAGTAAGAATTTAATTATGAAAAAAATTAGTCAAGCGTCTAATTCGAATTCTTCTGATTCAGTTAGATCGATTACATGAGTGCCATAGTGTCGCTGCTTTGCTAAAAATTCAGAACACACTTGAGAATTAATGAGTTAATAATTGCTAGATGATATGACATATTATTTACCTGCCTAATTCTTATAAAAACTATTAAATTCCGATGGCTCTTTTTTTCAAATTATCTGGACGTAAGTTTCCAAATAAAAGTTTACCAGGGAATGTTAGTTTAATATCTAAATATTCCTTAAGTTTTTCATAGAATTGCTACAGGGTGCTATAGCGTATTTCCATAATCCATATGTTTCCTTACTCATTTACCTCGACCTATAAAATTGATAAAAATTGAATAATACTTGATAGCAAGCAAAGTTTTTATAAACTTTTACTGTTTGCATCCTAAATCTAACATATTGAATTGATCTCTTCCTCTAATTATTCAGAAATGATAAAATTGGAAGATTGTTTTAGTCAATATTTTATTCTGAATTACTTGAGATATTTGATATCATCAAATATATAACGATCTTTATTTAGTTGTAAAATAAAATATTTAAATAGAAAATAGATAATTAATAAGCTTTAGTTGTTAAAGAATTATTAATTTCCACAAATAGAATTTGATTCTATATTACAATCTTATATTTTGATTCCAATTACTAACTCTATTATGGGTTGAGATCTAAGGATTTTACTCCCAAAATTCTAGAAGAAAAATTTCACAAATAAATTTTACATTATCATTTATATTTTATCAAAATAATAAATAATCTAAATTTGGTCAATAAATTCATTAATTAGGATAGTTTATAATAATTATAATAAATTTATACATAATTAATATAAATCAACATATAATGAAAATATTACAGACACAAAAATAATTAGGGTATGCTATTATTTATAATGCTTTTGATTTGGTATTAAGATCACATTAATTGATAAAATTTGATGCATCAACAGGGTTGTTTTGGAAAATTGATTAAGATATCGCTTTAAATAATAATCATTTAAAAGTATTCAGAAACTGAAGTAATTGTTTGATAAATTTAATAAGCGATTCAAATTTAAAGTTATTAGATTGATTAACTGTTTTGAATCAAATTATCAAATTATAATCATTAATAACTAATTTATAAATAGTATTGGCAATTTCCAAGATTCTTGTATAATCATATTTAAAAATTTGTAAACTTTATATAGAATAATTAACCATTAAAATTATTATATTATATGTATTTTATATAAAAGTATATGAAGTAATTTTGAATACAATTTATTTCGGAATATAGAAATTTTATGTTTGATCTGTAAAATAAGTCAATATTTTCAATCCTAAAGAATAAGTAAAATCTATATATAATTAAAAAGTCAGAGCTGAAGGAATATGATTGAAAAAGTTTTATAAATTTACGTAATTTAATTAAGTTATTATCTTTGTCTTGAATATGGGGGGGGCATGTTCTGGAACAAAAAAACCATAGCAAAAATAGAAATAACAATAATAAGAATTAAAGATAATTGAATAACCATATTTACATGTTCAATCGATGAGCTAACCATAATCAAGACCATCAGAATAAAGAGGAGAAACTGGCCCATGTGTTAAGGAATTGCTTTATTGTTATAAAAGATTTACGGATTTTTTAGAATTGTTAGGTAATTTGGACCATTTGGCAACTCATGCAAGAGAATAATTGAATAATTGCATTATCCAGAGATCCAATATAAATATACTTATATAGAATAGTATAAAAAGAATAATGAAGGAGTAAAAAATAATAAAGAGAGTAGAAGAAAGTGATTATTATTTAATTCATAACGACAAGAAATTTGCCGTCACCTTTGTGTAATTAATGTAAAAAATATCAAATATAATATTGACTGAACTTTAATCAGATTCAAATTTTTAGGAAGCATTTCCAATGTTGATTGTTTCATTTGTTGATTTAGCGACGTAGATAATAAAGGAAATAGAAAATTTTTAAAATTTCAAAACTCCTTCCATCTAGAAATAGAATACTAAACCTCCAATATCTTAAGATAATTATTAGGCGTCAACTAATAAATGATTTCTTTTTGTAATAGTGATTATACCTATAAAATTAAATTATAGATTGATGTAATTTTTGATCTCGTCGCTGCGTATCTTCACTTTTAAATATGATGTATATGAAATTAATAGTTTATAAATTTATATTTAACTAATTAATTATTTTAAAAGTAACTTATTGATATTTATCATTATTTGCAATCAAAGTATGTTATTTGGAGGGCTTAATTAATTCAGGCTAAGGAAAAAGTTCTATTTATTTAGAGTTTATAAGAAAATAAAATATAATTTATTAATAAATGGACTAAACTCCAACAAGTATCAATACTTTTACAACAACCGACAAGGAATTGGAAAATAACTTGAAGGATTTGTTGGAGAGGATTCTAGTGTATGTGGAGAAATACATCGAAACAAAGGAGGAGTTAAATTAAATTGAAAATGAGTTGAAAGACTACGAAAGTTTGTCGTACTTGGTTGGTATTATAAAAGTAATATTTACAAAACTAATGCTGAAAATAGAAAAGAAACTGTTGTAAGTAAAAAATTATTATTCAAAATCCAAAGGAAATTGGATAAATGCAACGATTTGAATAAGTCTTATTTGTTAAAGGATGATGAAGAATATGACAAATTAGAATAAACTCTCATTAAATATGAGCAAGAAATTCGCAACCACATTAGCGTAATGATTTTAAAAATAAATTTAGGTTGAGTAACAATTAAAATTATATGCAGAATCGATATAAAGCAAATTGGATGAGAGCGAGCAAATCAGATAAGAATTATTGGAAACCACTAAAAATAATATAAGCGTAAACGCATTTATTTGATTATGATAGAAATTGAAAAGAGAAAATTAAGAATTGAATGAAAAAGAGTAATAGTTGTAATAGGAAGTAATGAATTTAAAGTAAACCATATCCAATTTAGAGAAAGAAAACAAAAGAAAATCAATAGACTCCAATTAAAGAGACTATTTATAAGCCTTAATCAATAAGCAATCAAATTAATCATCCTCAAACTAACAAAAAAATGGGTCCAATCAAAAGTTTACCCTGGATTAGAGGTAATTGAATTCCCATTCTGAACACAAATCTAATCCGAAGTAATTTTTAAAGGAATAGCAAGAGCTGATTATACCAACATAATCATCCCAAAAATTAAATTATTATAGTATTATCACTAATGCAAATAACAAACAGAAATCTGAAGTGATCAAATCAATGCAACAAAAGGACTTCAACAACATTTACAGTTAGATAATGAGGACCAAACACAATTCACTATCATCTATTAATGATCTTATTCAGAATGTGTCATAATAGGACAAAAAGCGATAGGATTAATTTTAATCAATATCAAAGAATAGTTCCTAGAATAATAGTATGATTTAGAAGAATAGAGGTAACAGTGTTTATTGATAATGATAAGAATTCAAATAAATCGAACCAATAGAATTATAATAGAGAAGTAAGAGTTCCAAACGGGCAGAAGACATCATAAAATTTTAAACTTTAGAATCATTAATAAAATTAAAGTGATTTATTTAATTTTGCATAATATCATTAAGATTAAATATATAGTAATTAATAAAAATCGTTTTTCTTGATTTTTAATATTTAATATGCTATATTTAATAGTAATATTGTGTGTTGCTCATTCTTCAGCTTAATTTGGATCTGAATACTATTCGGAATGGTAATCAGGAGTGGATCGAACAATTAATAAGTAATAAGAGTTTACAAAGCCATCCTTTCCCATTAGGTAATATACCTAAATAGTGTTTCCAAGAAGATTTAGTGCGTATATGATAAAATCATAGTAGTCGCCCATAAGTCTTACTAATGCATGAGGAGATTTAATGGAGTAAAGGGAAAAATATTAATTACTAAACATTTGTATCAGACATAACAATAAATGGGTTTTACATAAACTATGTAATTTGGGGACCTGCAATAGTACCAATACTGACTGTAAGGTGGATTGCAATTGTTGATGACGAGGCTGAAATTTAATATGTGCAATATTCATATGAAGATTTTTATCAACTCAGACAAGGTTTTGGGTAGAGAGCTTAAGACTTTCTCATTTCATATTACCCGAAGTATCCAGCCCCAAAAGTGACAGCATTTATTGTCGGTGGAGACTTTGAAATTATTGATTCATTGTACACAAGCATATAGATTGTATTGGGAATTCCAACTACTTCCAGTATGGATGTAAGGTTTTCCACAAGAGATTTCTGTCATGTGAGATCTTTGACTGTCGCCTATTTTATCTCAAATAATTATTTAACACTGGCTGGGTCTGTTGGAGCATATCACAACTATTTTAATCAATATCTTGATAATTCTAATAAGATAGCTGTCAGAGCCTAAAAATTCACAAGAATAGTACCATCCATTTATACGTTGGAACCAGGAAACAATATTCTAGCTCAAGGAATCAGCGGATTTGATGTTAATACTCAAGTCGGTTCAGCCTATCTTAGAGTGACTTGTGAGCCTATGATATCGTACTCATCAACCTATACATTAATATACGGAACCAGTAAGAATTATATTAATAAAAGGGGGTGAGACTTTGCTGTCTTTTATGTAGGCTAGTTATGTCTTACATCCACCGGGTTCTCCGTATCACTATTATTATAAAAACTATGATTGGATTGTTCTTAAAGAGGATGAAGTGGTTCTAAAAGAGAAGGTTTAAGAAGAGAAAAAGATTAGTGAATTAAATATTAAATGAATAATTTAAGTTATTTCTACATATAAAATTATAAAATCAAGAATTTTATTAGATTTATACTGCAATTTGAGCACCTTGTACATTCTCTTGTTATTATTACTGTTGGGAATCCTAAACTGCAAAATTATTGAAAATTTGTTCGATGGATGCTTATTTGATGGAGTACTGGGAAATTCTGTATTGTTTTTTCTAAAATAATTAATTAAATAATTTACATTTTGTTCAAATCCTTCAAAGAGTTTGCCTACAGTGATCTAACCAAGGAGTCTGAATCTATAAAAAGTCTGGAAATGTTCAATGATTTCAAATTATCCTAATTTTTATTCAATGAATTTCTTCAAAAGATCTCCCATCTACTCGACAATGACATATTCAGCTAGAGTTTCAACAGCTAATCCTTTAGGTTTTCTAATGTCATTATAAATATGTGATCCTGATCCTTTCATAGTGATTTCTTATTCTAAATGAGCTTAATTGATTTTCCTTAAGATATCAACAGTAGTGTTTTGATCCAATCTAGAGTTGCTTTACAATCCCATCTTTTGGATTAAATCTTGAATCTCATTTTTTTGTGGTTTTTCCAGTTTAACTTCGATTTCATAACCCTTACCAAATTTATTTTTGATATGTTAAACAGATCCAAGACATCTGAGATTACCACTAACTTGGATAGCAATTTTAGTTGACAATGCTTCTGCTTCTTCCATTGAATGAGTAGTCAAGATGATGGTACTTTGTTTTCTTTGAGTTGCAATTCTTGAAATAACATTCCACATAAATCTTCTTGCTTCTGGATCCATACCAGTAGAAGGCTCATCCAAAAAGACAATAGGAGGGTTGCCTATCATAGCAATGGCAACTGACAATTTTCTTTTATTTCCTCCTGAAAGTTAACCTGATTGAATATTCTCAAATCTCTTTAAATCCATCTCATTTAGCTTCTTCTCAACCAATTCCTCCTTCTTATAATACGGTATTCCTTTGATATCTGAGAATAGTTCAATATGTTCTCTGACAGTAAGATTTTCTAAAAGACCATCAAATTATGGACAATATCCAATATTCACTCTGGCTGCCTCTAATTCATTAATGACACTCTTGCCTGCAATGAATGCTTCTCCACTAGTGGGTTTCAACTCTCCTGATAATATCTTAAATGTGGTAGTTTTACCAGCTCCATTGACTCCCAATAAACCAAAGACCTCTCCTTAATCAATAGCAAAACTGACTTAATCGACTGCCACCTTATGTTTTCCTTCACCCAACATAAACACTTTTCTGAGATCCTTTACGAGAATAGCCTTTTCTGAAGGTTGGTAGGTTTCACATAATTACTTTTCTTTAGCTACATCATCATCAATAGGTTTTGGAATGTAAGGGATACTGGACTCACTTGACCCGAGTTTCTACAACTATCCATTATCTTCGAAGTATTCAACAATGAAGATACAAACCAAATAAAAAGCACCCATTATTGCAAGCATCAATACATCTCCGCCACTCACTGCCATATCGTAAGTACTCTTCATTTCTGTCCATCCCTCCATAATCATGTATGTGTCCTTGGAGCATGCATTTAATATGCCATATGCAAATGAAAATGATGGAATCAATCTGAAAATCCATTATAATGCAGTGGCTGCATCTCTAGTAGATGAAATCAATCTTAAGATGTAGATTATCAAACTGATAATTGATCCAACCAATAAGTGTATGAAAAAGCTTAGTAACATGGCATTTCCTTATTGTCTAAAGGCAAAACTAAAGAAATAGCAAAATGGAATGATTGCCCAACCATACAAAAAGAAGATCACCCATGAGAATCCATAGTTTTCTCCCTCTATCAACGCCGAGATATCAAATGCCAAAATCAATAGACAACACACCACTGCTGGAATCACATGCTTTCCTAAATCCATCAGCCAATTACTAAACCAATAGGCTTTTACTGAAACTCCAGATACTAATTATTGATGTTTGATGTTAATTTCTCTTTCCTTAACAATATATGATATTAAAGATGCAGGAATGAATGCCATACCCATAGAAAAGACTAGCGCTGACAAGAATCCAGCTATCGCTTTTGATCCATTCAACTCTTCATAAGTCTTTCTGAAAGGAGAATTAGTAACTTTGATCTAGAAGTCATTGTTATTGGTAGCTTTTCTCAAGATTGCTTAATTCATTTGGTTTTGTAAGACAAGTGGAGCTTCCCTAAAGATTGTATTCACAAACATGTAATATGCAAATTAGTCATTGGTGTTACTAGTCAAATAATACCAACCAAGGTTTTGTCTAATATCAAAAGTGTCAAAGTAACTTTGATCGATCTTTTAGAGATTACTCAAACTATCATCTCCAAACACCTGAATAGATGAATTGTACATCTATAAATCAATCTAAGAAAACAGTGATTAATCATTTATTCCTCCCCATACGTATTGAATTCCTTGACCATAACATTCGGATGGAGGTGTTAAAATGATTACATTTGGTTCAGTTATAAACTCTATTGTCATTAAAATCAATCCAAGAAGTACAACCAAGCAAGGCAAAAGGATTTCACAACATAGACTCTTGACATCTCTCTTGAAATATCTTGCTCTTTTCATAAGTAAAGCAAGAGTATGATTGAAAAATAATTGGGTTGAATTTGTAATTCTTATTTGATTAATATCGAAATCGTCAATTTAAACTGCTTATTTATTCTTGTCCTCCATCTCCATATAATCATTCACTTAGTGATGTCCAGCTCCAATTTAGGCAACCTTTAAAAACACTTCTTCAAGAGTTGTGATACTGATACCATAACTTTAAATATGTAGGGCTTTTGAATTATTATCTAATTCTTAAAATAATTTTGGGAATTTATCAGCTGCATTCAAAGGTAATTGCATGAGAATTTCAGCTGAAACTTTAGAAATTAAAACAGCTTCTGGACATGCCTTCATGATAACTTCAATGATTGGGTCTGACTCAGTTAAAGTACTCTCTTTTACGATAGTCAGGTTGTAACCATTACCAAATTGATTCTTCAAAAATACACTGCTTCCTGAACATTACAACTTTCCTTCTCCCATAATACCTATTCTATCTCCGAGAAAGTCTGCCTCATCCATAAAATGAGTTGTCAGTACTATGATTCTGTCTTCTTTGTAATTCTTAAGCATTTCCCAAATATATCTTCTAGCACTTGTATCCATTCCTGAAGTAGGTTCATCCAAATAGATTAATTTAGAATTACCAATAAATGCAATTGCTACTGATAATCTTCTCTTTTGTCCTCCTGATAGATTCTTACTTAAATAGTCAGTCTTTTCTAGTAGATCAACATCTTCAATCATTCTTCTAACAGCTGCAGGAATATCATCTGGTTTCATTCCTTTGAAAGTAGCAAACATTTCCAAATGTTCTTTGACTGTCAAATTATCAAATAAAATGTCATGTTATGGACACACTCCCATGAATTATCTAATTTCCTCAATTTGAGTTTCGACATCATATCCAAATACTGATGCTTCTCCTTGAGTGATATCTAAGAGACCTGTCAACATTGAAATTGTGGTAGTCTTTCCTGCTCCATTATGTCCCAATAAAGCATAAATTTAGCCAATATACATAGTCAGACTCACATTACTGACAGCTTGTTTTCCACTTGGATATATTTTGGTAAGATTAGAAATCTAGAGTACTTCTTATCTGCTTTCCTAATCTTTCAAAGCCTAGTCCACCTCTTCATATCTTTCCTGATGAATCTAGGATGACTTCTTCATTAATTTTTACTACCCACCATGATGTGATCTATTAAAGTAAGGGATGCAGAATAAAGGATGCAATTTCTTACCCCATTCATTAGGAAATACAAGATCCAAATAAATTGACATTATTAAGTAGAAGAAGATGTTTAGGATATGCATAATCAAGGCGATGTTAACAGCATAATTTTCAACTTTTGTTGTTATTGTTGACATTGAAACACCTCCGCCTTGAGCCTCGAACAATACCATAACATCGAATGCAAAGGACATAGCAGCATGGGAAGATATTGAGGCTCCCCAATATGATGATTCAGGAACTATGTCTGATCCACTACCAACCAAACTGATCACCATGTACATTAGCAAATACCAAACGATAGCTACAATTAATCCGAACAATGCTCTTGTAAAAAATACACTATGATTAAATTAATTTATACCTTATNTCTAATTCTTAAAATAATTTTGGGAATTTATCAGCTGCATTCAAAGGTAATTGCATGAGAATTTCAGCTGAAACTTTAGAAATTAAAACAGCTTCTGGACATGCCTTCATGATAACTTCAATGATTGGGTCTGACTCAGTTAAAGTACTCTCTTTTACGATAGTCAGGTTGTAACCATTACCAAATTGATTCTTCAAAAATACACTGCTTCCTGAACATTACAACTTTCCTTCTCCCATAATACCTATTCTATCTCCGAGAAAGTCTGCCTCATCCATAAAATGAGTTGTCAGTACTATGATTCTGTCTTCTTTGTAATTCTTAAGCATTTCCCAAATATATCTTCTAGCACTTGTATCCATTCCTGAAGTAGGTTCATCCAAATAGATTAATTTAGAATTACCAATAAATGCAATTGCTACTGATAATCTTCTCTTTTGTCCTCCTGATAGATTCTTACTTAAATAGTCAGTCTTTTCTAGTAGATCAACATCTTCAATCATTCTTCTAACAGCTGCAGGAATATCATCTGGTTTCATTCCTTTGAAAGTAGCAAACATTTCCAAATGTTCTTTGACTGTCAAATTATCAAATAAAATGTCATGTTATGGACACACTCCCATGAATTATCTAATTTCCTCAATTTGAGTTTCGACATCATATCCAAATACTGATGCTTCTCCTTGAGTGATATCTAAGAGACCTGTCAACATTGAAATTGTGGTAGTCTTTCCTGCTCCATTATGTCCCAATAAAGCATAAATTTAGCCAATATACATAGTCAGACTCACATTACTGACAGCTTGTTTTCCACTTGGATATATTTTGGTAAGATTAGAAATCTAGAGTACTTCTTATCTGCTTTCCTAATCTTTCAAAGCCTAGTCCACCTCTTCATATCTTTCCTGATGAATCTAGGATGACTTCTTCATTAATTTTTACTACCCACCATGATGTGATCTATTAAAGTAAGGGATGCAGAATAAAGGATGCAATTTCTTACCCCATTCATTAGGAAATACAAGATCCAAATAAATTGACATTATTAAGTAGAAGAAGATGTTTAGGATATGCATAATCAAGGCGATGTTAACAGCATAATTTTCAACTTTTGTTGTTATTGTTGACATTGAAACACCTCCGCCTTGAGCCTCGAACAATACCATAACATCGAATGCAAAGGACATAGCAGCATGGGAAGATATTGAGGCTCCCCAATATGATGATTCAGGAACTATGTCTGATCCACTACCAACCAAACTGATCACCATGTACATTAGCAAATACCAAACGATAGCTACAATTAATCCGAACAATGCTCTTGTAAAAAATACACTATGATTAAATTAATTTATACCTTATGAACATAGATTAGAATATCAAGACTATGCAAAATAGCCAATAATTCAAGAATAACACAAATCCATCAGTATGAGTAAATACTATAGCAGACAACAGTATTGTGGCTATTATTGAGATTATTGTGTAGATTATTAGATATTGTATAATCCATGATAAATAAAATGAGGTGTTGTTCAATCCCATCATTTTCATACCTTCCCTCAGTTTTTTCTCCTTTTCATAAATCATCGCATAAGTCATTCTCAAATATATGATTATTAGAGGCAATATCAAATAGACACCAAATTATCCTCTTAAAAATGTTGCAAAATCATCCTTCACTCCATCTTATTGATGAACTAATTGAATTACATCTTAAAAATACCATATGTGAACTTCGGAGTTATTTTTGCTTAATTGTTGGTTTCAATTCTCAAAATAATGTTGTCCACAAAGGTTTGCACTGTTAACATTCCAGATTCCCAATATGCGTTCGCTTTCTCATAATCTTAATATTTAATAGGATCCACAGCCATTAAATTTGTGGGAGGAATTTCATAATCATTAAATCCGCTTGAATTAAATCTCAATTGATAATCGTATATATTATTTCCAGCACTTTCATTAAATATTACTCCAAAGCACACTCTAGGAACTCCATCTCTTCCATAATCCGAATCGGCAGTATAATCATCAAGATCTTCGCTATTCTTAAATATTTTTGTTTCATAAAAGTAGTAAGCTAAAGTAATGGAAATAATATGTACTTTCTAAAATGTACTTTAATTCCTTCACAACCTCGTGATTCTCACTTGGACCAAGAGCCACTTGGCCATTCAGCCAATCTCTCTCTTATTAATAATTGTAATTATCGATGCAATTTCTAAAATAGTCGAATTAATTACTTCATTTTCGGTAATACTTGTAATCTAGTGCTAGTATCCAAAGCTTTTAGGTTTTCAAACAAATCCAAAGTGGCATTCCATTTTTACATTAGCTTAATTCTTGTTTCTATTTCTTATTCATTGATGAAAGGAGACAATTCTACTGGAACATTGGGATCTTTAGATCTCCATTCAAGTTAAGGCTGCAAAAAGCCTGTTTCATCGAGATTAACCTTATCTACAACGCCTCTAAAGGATTAAACCAACAGTTACCTTATTCCAGCCAAGGCTAATATCAATAATAATGGTAAAACGATTTCACAAGTTGAACAGAAACAGTTTCTCTTCCAAAGAATCCAATTTTTCTTAAGTAATGAGGATAGATGTCCCATATAAGTTTATTTTATTTATTGACATAAACTTTGGGTTATCTTAGTTCTTAAATTGCGTATTCTATATATAATTATAGAATATTTCATTCATTCAATAGAAAGAAATAACTCAGATTTTTGGAAATTCCAAAATAATTATTCTAAATTTTCTTATTAAAAAGCTTTAAAAATCATTTCAATAGGTTCAGTCTTCGATGTTTTACTTAATTATCTTGAATCAAAAAAAATCATATAGGTATAAGCAATTAAAGAAGAGTGTAAACCAAATTATCAAGAAACGCAAATATTTAAAAAAGAAAAATAATTTAATAAACTCTTAAAATTATTTTGTGTCGCTCAGTGCTTTCCTTACATCTATCATTTTAAAATTCTTCATATTCCCATTTTAATAAAGACATTAATTGAAAAACAATTTGTTAGAAAAATTAAAATGCATAATATATAAACTATATATGTTGAACAATTATAATTTGTAGCTTTGATACATTGGTTTAATTATTATGTAAACAGACTGTGCTATTTCTACTACTAAATAAACTCAGATCCATAATAAGCTCTATTATTCGACCCGTATGATTGATATCGAAAATTAGTAACTGACATTCATCAACTAGCTGAATATACTAATGGAATTGAGATTTTTAAAAAGCCCGATGTCCTTACTAATTAGAAATAGGTATGGTGACCATAGAGTTAAAATATCAATAAATGGAGCAATGATAGTTAAATCAAATCAATGTCTCAATTTTATTGCCATAATCATGAGTAGGAATTCAATATGCACACATCTCTTGAATGACCATTAAATAAACAATATGATTAACTATTTTAAATTTAATTAAATTATTTTAAAATATAATTAAATGATTTTATAACTGTATAACATTATTATACATACATGTGTCTCAATATATTCTCAATTTAAGAAGAAATTCATTTGTGAAATTTGATGTCCTATATTTTTTTGGTTGATTGAGTAATGAAGCTTTTATGATTACTTAACATACTTTTGGGTATGTTAGAGAAAATTTACTTGTTTCCTGATGTTGCAGGCAATTGCTGAGATGTTTTCAGATAGACCCTTTGCTATTAAATTTCTTATAAAATAAGAGTATTTTCAGTGCTTATTGTTTAATCTTTTCTTGATTTAGTTTCAGTATTAATATGGTATTTACTGACTTCTTTTACAAAATAAACATTGATTTTATCGTCGTTGATCACAACCTTAGGTGATATAGACTTGTAGGTATCACCTTCTTTGAGATTCTATTAACCATCTATTTCTTTGGCAGATTTTCTTTGAACACTTTGTTGTGGTATTTTTAAATGTTCGTCGCCTTAATAAAGAATTGACAATACTTTTTTATTTGATTAAAGTTTTAGAACTCTAGCAAAATGAAAGAAATCCTTTTGGGTTAGTAACTTACTTTTTTTATATCAATTTCAAATCCTTTTTTCCACTGCTCAAGTCTTTTAATGTTATTGAGGTCCTTCTATTATTTGATCCGATTCGAGCAGTGTTAGTACAGTTTTGTAAATTGTTGATTGATTTTTTGTTACAACAAATCAAGTTTAATGCTTGTTCGCTTTTCATCCGATTTAATATAACAATAATAAAACAATATTAAAAATCAAATTAAAAGTGTTGTTGTTGCTATATTAATAATACTTATTTGATTTATATTAGAATTATAAATTAAAACTGCAAATAATATTATTGCTTTTCTTCAGAATTTATTAATATTCATATTAAAACACTTTACAAATCTAAACAAATGGTGTATGTCTAAATATAGTAATGTAGATTTATTAGTAAAAGTAATGGCAGAGTTCTAATTTAAGATATTATGTTGATTAATAACAAAAATGCGTCTTATTCAGATTTTCTGGAGTTATAATTAAATAAAATGAATAAATTCGAAATCCAAATACGAATTTGTTTTAATGATTTAAATAAATGAAAACAAGCTGAAAATTAATCTCATCAAAAAGAAGCCTAACCTCTAGATTCAAACCTCTTCTTTACCTACAGTTTCTGAAACCTAAATCAAATCTAGCAAACCTTTCCTTATCGAGAGTGAAATCGATTCAGCTGAAGTTAGGAAGTTTTAAGCCCTACTACTTGACTCCTTAACTAAAAACCACAGATTATCTCAAAAATTTAAACTATTCTAACCCATAATGATAAACGAGGAATTGGAATAGCACTCAAGAACAAAATTATCAAGACCAACAAATTATTGAACTCTGAATAATAGTTTATGTTTATAATTAATTAAAAAACATAATAAACAATTAAAAAGTCTGATTAATTCTCCTTTTAATTAATTACAATACATTCCTAACATCAATGAAATGTAATGAAAATCAAAAGTATCAATATAGCACTTGATTGATTAATGAATCATAGAAGTCTAAAAATACTTCAAAAAGACATATTGTAATTTATTAATAAAGTAATATAATGAATAAAAAAGAAAAATTGTTTTTATCTCATCAAGTTGATTTGGGACTCAAATCCAATGAAGATAGCTTTAGGCCAATTGCTACGGCTGCTTGCACTGGCAGCGAATTTAATTTCGACGATAAATTCTCTTAAACAGTTACTTCATCCAAATTTATGAAACCGAATTCGATGCACAGCATTCGAAATATTTTTGATGGTATTTATTGATAATGTATGAAAAGAGGTCAATAATGAAGAAAGAAAAAAATATACTGATAGTCAAGTTGGACCCAAATTTGAGGATGAGAAAAAAGAAAAGATTGTAAAATGGTCTATTGTTGGAAAACCCGAATAGTTTCTATCTGTGAGAAATAAAAACAGATAAAAAGTTGTTATTAAACAAAAAAAAGGGGATGGCGACGATTCCTTTTCAGATGAAGTTCCATCATCAGTCAAACCAATTATGTTATAGTAATCTTAATCATAAATTTCGGGGATGGGATAACAAAGAAAAACACCCAAAAAACCAAGAGGAGAATTTAAAATGTTACCAAGATAAGAAGCCTTAATCAAAATGGTCGAAGCTAAAAAAAGAATAGAATCCAATCTAAAAGAAAAACAAATGTATGAGCAAAATCTTCCTCTTCATTTACAAAATGCTGTAACAAGAGAAAAAAGAGTGTTGGATAAATTCGATTTATAACAAGAAAAGTGGGAGTTTTTTAATAATTAGATAGCATCAAATTGTGAAAGGAATCCTTATAACACAATTATGATTAGATCTGACAATTATAGAGAAAAAAACTAAAAGATTAGCATAATTGAATCTTTAAAAAATGAAGATGAAAAATACAATAATAGACTTTGGTATATGAGACTAAGATGGTATGATAATAAAGATGATAGACCTCCTTTCACTTTAATTACTAAACCTAAATAAAAAAGTCTCCCGTTGTCTAGCAGATTAGTTAATCGATATGTGAAGGACCCTGAAGCTGAACATTTAGCTTATTAAGAGAATTTCGTNGAAATCGATTCAGCTGAAGTTAGGAAGTTTTAAGCCCTACTACTTGACTCCTTAACTAAAAACCACAGATTATCTCAAAAATTTAAACTATTCTAACCCATAATGATAAACGAGGAATTGGAATAGCACTCAAGAACAAAATTATCAAGACCAACAAATTATTGAACTCTGAATAATAGTTTATGTTTATAATTAATTAAAAAACATAATAAACAATTAAAAAGTCTGATTAATTCTCCTTTTAATTAATTACAATACATTCCTAACATCAATGAAATGTAATGAAAATCAAAAGTATCAATATAGCACTTGATTGATTAATGAATCATAGAAGTCTAAAAATACTTCAAAAAGACATATTGTAATTTATTAATAAAGTAATATAATGAATAAAAAAGAAAAATTGTTTTTATCTCATCAAGTTGATTTGGGACTCAAATCCAATGAAGATAGCTTTAGGCCAATTGCTACGGCTGCTTGCACTGGCAGCGAATTTAATTTCGACGATAAATTCTCTTAAACAGTTACTTCATCCAAATTTATGAAACCGAATTCGATGCACAGCATTCGAAATATTTTTGATGGTATTTATTGATAATGTATGAAAAGAGGTCAATAATGAAGAAAGAAAAAAATATACTGATAGTCAAGTTGGACCCAAATTTGAGGATGAGAAAAAAGAAAAGATTGTAAAATGGTCTATTGTTGGAAAACCCGAATAGTTTCTATCTGTGAGAAATAAAAACAGATAAAAAGTTGTTATTAAACAAAAAAAAGGGGATGGCGACGATTCCTTTTCAGATGAAGTTCCATCATCAGTCAAACCAATTATGTTATAGTAATCTTAATCATAAATTTCGGGGATGGGATAACAAAGAAAAACACCCAAAAAACCAAGAGGAGAATTTAAAATGTTACCAAGATAAGAAGCCTTAATCAAAATGGTCGAAGCTAAAAAAAGAATAGAATCCAATCTAAAAGAAAAACAAATGTATGAGCAAAATCTTCCTCTTCATTTACAAAATGCTGTAACAAGAGAAAAAAGAGTGTTGGATAAATTCGATTTATAACAAGAAAAGTGGGAGTTTTTTAATAATTAGATAGCATCAAATTGTGAAAGGAATCCTTATAACACAATTATGATTAGATCTGACAATTATAGAGAAAAAAACTAAAAGATTAGCATAATTGAATCTTTAAAAAATGAAGATGAAAAATACAATAATAGACTTTGGTATATGAGACTAAGATGGTATGATAATAAAGATGATAGACCTCCTTTCACTTTAATTACTAAACCTAAATAAAAAAGTCTCCCGTTGTCTAGCAGATTAGTTAATCGATATGTGAAGGACCCTGAAGCTGAACATTTAGCTTATTAAGAGAATTTCGTATTATCAGACATCTAAAGCAACTTTAATACGAAGATTATTGAAAATCCCTATTAGTAAATTGAAAAAGTGATTACAAATAGTAAATTAAATGCCACTATATTTAGTTAAACACAACAAACTATATAGTAGAAAATTAGAATAGATGTTTACTGACAAAATTAAGGATAAGCCAAAAAAACGATATGTGGATACAAATGAATATCTTGAAGTTGCGGGAATTAATGTTTATAGCAAAGAACTTGACTTTATTCGAAACAATAAATAACAAGAATACCAGTATTTCGAGGAAAAGCAGGATGAATAAGAGGTATATATAGAAAATTGGAATGCTCAGTAATTGGCTAAAACTGGATAACCACTAAATTATGAGTTGAATTGAAATATTTTGTATTTAATTAATTTAAGCATAAATGTAAGTGTTCATAAATTTATAAGAATTCTTAGAGTTCTTTCAAATGCTTCATCATTGTATAGAGTTTATTCTGGAATGAGATAAATCAATTAAACGATATTTCTACTATTTTTATACATGATCGGTTGAATCACAGTGATAATTATTATTAATACACTCAGTAAGATTAGTAAGTAAAAGATATTGAATAACTAAAATATATAATAATCTTTGTTACAATCTGCTACTCAACTAAAGATGTTGTAATTTCAATCAAATCATCATAGAACGATTTGTTAATAACATTGATAATCTCTGATATCATATAAGCACCTTCAAGTTCATTAGAGGTTGGACGGGCTCTATATGTAAAATTGTTAATAGCCATATCTGTTTGGATCAGACTTGAGATGTAGACCAACATAATTTTGAGTCCTCTCTTCATGTTCCCGTTCATTGTTATAGGACATAGTAATTTTGATTTATCAATCAAATATTCAGGTAAATAGTCACATAGATTCTCTATTTAAATCTTGTTATAAAACCCCTCAAACTAGTCACTCATCAATATTCTACATAAAACCAATAATATACTTAGAAAAATCAAGATTTTCGGATGTAAAGGCTATTGTCTAATTCAATGATTCCTAAACATAGTGGAATATTGTATCGAAATAAGAAGAATCCAAATACATATAATTTTTTCTCCCATACAGTACTTCTCTCTAAGCAAACATTAGAGGAATATCTCCACTTAAGTCACTTAATTATTTCTTATACGCAGCCGTTTGTGGATATTTTCTTAAATAATTCATGTATGAAACATAATTCACAACAGGACAAACCAGAATTAATATATAAAATATACCAAGGAATACAGTGAATTAAGTTATTGGGATCTTCTTTTAATCAAGCATTCTATGTGTTTTTTATTTTTCGACAGTTCTATCTGTTTTCTTTTATAAAAACGAAGACTCTTTTTCAAAAAGGTTAAATTTATAAAAAAATAGTTTTGTTCTATCCTCTAATAGTAAATTTAACAATGATTTTTGTTTAACTATTTCTCTTTACAAATAAATATCATCTACAAACTATGTTAGAGATAAAAACAGCTGCAATTTATTTGTTGTATATCGTTTCAATCCTAATATTATTAGAACTACCATAAATAATATTGCTTATTGACAAATGAAAAAAGTAAGAAGTTCTTACTGAAATTCTTACCCTCTAGCAATAGTTGCGACCATGATATCGTCATTTAATTCAGTAAGTATGTCCCTTAATAAGGGATAATTTTTGAAACTATAAAAAATTTATGGACTATCTGCCTTGACTGTCTTTTCATAAACATAGTTCATTTTTAGAATGTATTAAAAGTTTAGTAGTATTTAAATAGCACTTCTCAAAGTCATATTGTATTTCTCATTCTAATACGTGTCTGTATATTAAAAAATCTAGAGAATCTTATTCTGTAGCAAATATTATAAATCATATTTGAATAAGACAGATTGCATATTGAAATTCAACTAATCATATCCTTCGCCTAAATTGGAAATCGAGAATTTTGATAATTCATCATATTCTTCCTATGTTATTATTTAATTTTATTTTTCATAATTATATGTCCATAAATTCCACCTTGTAGCCAAAAACATATCTAAAGGTTAAAAAAATAAATTCTTAATTTCTAGTAAATTGATATCTCGTGCAAAACCTATCAGATTTAAACTTAATAACTCCTAAAAATAATTTTAATTTAATTACAATTATTATAAACAAAATTGATATTGTAACGCACAAAATAAACAATAGCACAAGTATCTATTAATACTTCTTCAGAGGTAAATGGTTGTTAAATCTATTGATTAAACTATATTTTCTAATGAAATTTGATTATCTTAATTATTCAATTGAAGAACTCTGTTATGATTTCATCTCAAAAAGGAACTCCTCCTCTTCCTACTGAATCTTGAATTGTTATTCCTAGATAGTGTTAGACTTTTCATATGCCATCTGATTCCTATCAAGATCATTATGCAAGAAGTATTGTTCCTCATCTCTGGAGGTAATCAATTAATGTAGGTCTATATCAAATTTTCTTATTTATTCATCCGATTAATATGGTATCAATAAGGCTTCATTCTAATCCAATTCATTACAATGAGTGTTACATCCCTTAATAGATGCAAAAGAAGTATACGTTTACAATACAGTATCTTTTCTAATTGAAAGAAAATTTCTAAAGTTTTCCAATTCCAAAATATAGTATTTTATTTATCCATTAATATTCTTAATAATGACATTTACATCGCAATAATAATTAATTTATTCTTAAGTTTCATTAAAAAAACTTTAACGGGATTTTATATTTGGTTGACTATAATATAAAGAACTTTCAATTAGACATGACTAAGTGACTGAATTTAATTCATTGATAATTTTATTTACAAAGGTTCCAAGTTTAAATACCTTTTTTATAAAAGGTATTTAACTAAAGGCTTCTGACATAGATTTTATTTCAAAATTGTCATTTGTTACCATTGTAAATAGGCTATTTTTGTTATTCCTTACAGTAAAAAGTGCGATAAATTAGACTTTGTGAGTGCAAATAATATCAATTGCAAAGTCTATGGAATCAATAAATCCATCTTTGAAAATGTAATTTTTATTGAAATTTCTAGTAAATTTAGATTAAGCTGTAGTTAAATAATTCTATATCAGATCATCATGATGCTCTCTAATCCCAAAAGGAATTAATTCGTTCAATAATTTATTTTTGTATTGTTAGGGTGCATTGCTAGAAACAGTTTCAATGCTATACTATTAATCTTAGAAATTAACTATCATATATCGTATTTTTTTATTTGAAAATGATTCCTTTATTGATGGGTTTGCGCTTTTTCTTGTATGCATAAGAATTTCATTTGCCTGAATTATATCATTAAGAATTTCTGCATAGAAAAATAAGATGAGTGATTAAACACATCCTACGGATTGCTTGTATTAAAATGTATCCAATTTAATTCTAGTATTTCTAATTTTTTATATTAATACGATAATATCTTCAATTGTGTTTTGATACCAATTTTAGAGAAGGTCTATTTTTAATTTGATAATTTGAGTGATTTCGTATGAAATTGTTTAGGTTTGGGAATCATTCAAAATCAATTTTAAAGCTAAATCTTTTTGTATTGATAATGATTTTACGTTCTTATTAACAATTAAATTAAATTCATTGACAGCTTATTTTAGAATCAATTTTAATTTAATTTTTCTTAAGGTGTTTGTTTCTTATTGTTTTAGTAAAATCATAAAGCATTCATAATAGTTGTTTTATTTAAGTAGTATAGAAGCCTTTATTATCGGGTCCTTGGAATCGAGATTAGAATTATTTTTGTTCATTCTAAATGCAATTTTAAAGAAGAATGGTACCAAAATCAAGGTATAAGAGTTTTCATATTTTATAAATTAAGCAATTCCCAGACATATAGTTAATAATTAGATGGAGAAGATTATAGCTTGATTTCGGATATTCATCTCTGATTTTTCATTTAGTATCATTAATATATATACAAGAGAATTGATCATTGAGATAACTTATATTAAAAAGATATCAATTCTAAATTCCTGTCCAATTATCAAAAAAACATCCAAGAGAAATTTGATCGTTCCTAATAAACTAATTCTAACTAACTGAAAATTCTTTTAATTTACGTTCAATGTCCATTAAATGAAAAAATATTCGAATGTCTAAAACATCAAAATTATGCCTCCCACTATATAACCAAACAAATCTTTGAATTATTCCAACACAATATTTAACAATGACACCTTCAATAATGTATTTATGGTGCTCGCTATAGAACTTCCAATTATAGTAGGTTTCAAAATATAAAACAAATGGAAAATCACAAAAACTAAACCAAAAATTGAAAAATTATCAATCTATATAGCTTGTGAAGGCCTAATTATAATCACAAAAAAATACACCCATGAGGTGGGGGTTTGACTATAGATATATGAAAGATTTCTTAAAGATGAATGTATTTTAAAGAAATTTACCCACTTTTCAGAAATATCCAAAGCTTGATTATCATACAAATGATAATTTGTTAAAAAGGCATCTAAAACAAGATTTGAGTTTCCCATCTTTATTTAAGATTATTAAAATAAATTTTTATAATAAATTGTTCTCATAAGGAAAAATCCAATCAAAAATCAAATTAATATCAATTTTATCAATTCGGATGATTGGATCATCATAAGATTGATTACTTAAATATTTCAATTGAAAGCTCTGAAGTTTAAATTAAAAAATATTTTTTCAAAAAAGTCTGTAAAAAAAATTTTTATTAATTAATGCTATTAATTTAATTCTGGATTTAATTTGAATAAAAGTCTAATCATAAATATAAAACTATATAAATTATTTAGAATTTTATTAATAAATAATCATTATTCACTTTCCTTTTTGATTTCGTTCTTCTTAACATCATTTTATGGTGATTGCGTAGATCCATTTTAGAACATTTGCATGTTCATTTACTAGTTCTTTAATTATGAAAACATCTAAAAATTAAACGCATTTTTATTTGCACTCATATTCATTAAAAATTATAGAGAATTTGCGGATAAATTATTTTGCTATTGAGAGAAAAACTATTATTATTGACTAGGTTATTCTTGTTTTATTTATATAACACTATTCTTTTTTTATTCTCCTAATAACTATGGCTATGAATTATCTCTATTTCCTAGAATAATCAATCTGAAATACTTAATTCTTCTTCTTATTCTTATTATAACCTTTGAACAATCTCAGTTAGAATATTGGAATAGTTAGCGAATCGCTGTTAATTTTTCGATTGCATATTCGATAGTTCTTGAGTTAGTTGTTGACTTTCCTAAAACAATGTTTCGTTTTATTGCATAATTTATTAGAGTGCTATTTATAGTTATTTTTAACTATCAGCAATGGCTTAAATCTCATTTTTAAGTTCCTTTTGAGCTTTCTTAAATTGCTCAATTTCATCAACTATTTGTGGAATTTCCTAAGATTCTTAATATATATAAAACATCTTTATCATCATTTTCTTCCTAATTTCTTCTTTTAATATTAGTCAACAAGGCTCTTCCATCCCTTCTAAACCATTTATGTTCAAATTTTTAATTAATCTCGTCAGCTTTGCTTTTTTTAAAATTATACATATTGAGCTATCTAAAATTTAGAATAAAATTCACCTTAAAAAGCTAGGATAATTCTTATGTTTGAAATATTTTGGCAATATTTTATCAGCCAGTAGTTATTGATTTCTTACAATGAATGCATTTCCTTCGGTATTCCATCCAATTATATCTTTTAGATCTTCATTCTATTGTGAATTATTAGATAATACGTCCATAATATCGAACAGTCTAACCAAAAAAGATGGCACACTTCCTTTTTATCTTTATTCTGAACTTTAACTTTATGAATCTTAGAAATTATCACTGCTCTCTTGCATTTTATTTAAAAATATTATTGTTTTGATTTTTAGTAAAAATTAATATGTATATTCATAACTAATATCTTAAAAAATATTGATGATCATGAATCAACCTAATGCAGTCTAATATTCTTGATAATTGCATAGAATTAAAATTAGGATGATCTAAAATTCCTAGATTTACAAAGAAAGATAAATTTTTTAATTAATATTATACAAACAATTGCCAGATTCCTAATCTTATTTAAAATGACTCCAAATCTCAAATTAATTCCTAAACCTATTAATAAGGAATTAAACAGCAGCAAAACAATTTAAACTATTACACATATCTAATTTCTCAGGGAAAATTGAAAAATATACAAAATCAGCTAGAATTTTCTGCAATTCTCAAAATTCATAAAAACATAGGATATAAGACCACAATTATTAAATTATGTTAGTCTGTTAGGTAAATAGCAAAATACAATTAAGAAGTTGATCAAACTGACTAATAGAAATTATTATAATATTAATTTAATGAATTTGAGAAAATTCTCCTAATAGACGTATTTTAAGGCCAAATGTTAATAGGAATAGAAGTAGAGAGATAAGGGTGTGAATTCTAAAATCATCTAACATATTAATGAATTTTAGAAAAAGGATATGAAAGAGTAGTTTGATTAGAATTAGAGCAATCAATAAACTTTGATTAACTAAGATACGAATGAGATGACTGTTTCAGATTTCGACACATCAACAAACATGGATAAAAAATGTAAGGTTTACATGATTAAAGTAATTAGTAATCCAAGGACTTAAAGAAAACATTTCTCACCAATCTTTAGAACAAAAAATAATGCAATAGATCCACATTCAAACAAATTCTAATTATCTTTGTCTAGAGAAAAATAGATGAGCAATGATGTTATCAGTTTGTGGGATTCAAATTAAAGAGAAACGAAATAATCTTACAATAGCTTTTAGATTTAAGAGAAATAAACTGTAATCTGCAAAGGTTCAAAGAAATAACTAGAGAAAGGAATTAAAATATAACAAGAGTTGGATAAATTCCTCAAGTTTAGACATTAAAACATTTAAACTTCATTTGATTGCTCGAAACTGAAAAAACTAGAAAAAAGGAAATTGCATTCAAAAATTAATCTCGAATATCAAATTGATTAAAGCATCGATAAATAAAATAATGAAAAAGAATGTTAGTTTAATCATATTAATAATCAGAATCAAGAGATATATACAGAAATAAATAATTCTCAAGAACAATAAGAATAATCAAAATCTAAAACGAGTACCTCTACAAAAAGTAATCCTTTAATTCCAATCCACATTAGATATCAATACGAAAAAGAATATAAGGAAGCTAAACAAAAATAATCTAGTCAAACACTAAAGGAGTAATAACCATAAAGTATTACACTATATTAATTTAAGAGAAAACCGTCAGCAAAGATTAAATAGCAGAGTTTTTTAAGGAATAATAAAAGTTTTTGAAAAAGAGAGCTGAATTTTTTGAAAAAGAATTTGAGAAAAAACTTTGGGAAGTTGCTCAAACTGAAAGTGAATTTCTTTACACTCCTATGTTGAATGAATAATCTAGTAGAGTAGATATTACATATATTCATTAGATTTTAGATAAAAAATTAAAAGGAAAGAATTTTGATTAAAGAATACAATAATTCTAATAAAATAGATAAAATAAACTGGATGAATAAATATAAAACATGAAACCATCTTTTACACCGACCATTAGCAAAAAATCAAGAAAGGTAATAATTGAATAATAAATAAAGATTATGGAAAACCCAAAATAAAGACTTACATTCCAAAATGAAAAAAGTTTTCAATAATTAAATTGGAGAGCAAAGACTTTGGAAGAATAGTGACTTAATTTAAATATCTTTTAATTCATTAATTCAAAAACTCTTTACTGATGGTATTAAGATATCTTTATGAAACAATGGATCATTAATGATTTAATCTATATTCCATCTATTTTATATGTTCTTCTCTAAACATCCGTTTATAACTCTCAATATACTTTCATTTAACTTTTTATCCTAAATGGTTTTTATCTTTTAACACTATATCTAACGATATAAATCTTTATCATTTTATCCTTTAAAAGGATATTCTCCTGTCAGCATTTTAGATAGAAGAATTCCCAATGACCAAATATCTGAACTAGATGGATGATGAGGAACCTTATTAAATACAGTTTAAAATTACTTTTGCTATGATTTCGGGAGACATATAGTGTGGTGTTCCACAAAACACATTCGTCTTTTAATTTTAAGGCATGCAAATGGCAAATCCAAAATCTATCAATTTTACAACATTTGTTTTCATCATTAAGACATTATCTAATTTGATATCTCTATGACATATGTTGAGATCATGCAAATATTTTACAGCCATTGCAATTTAGTAGAATAAATTCAAGCATTCCTTTTCTGGTAAGATTCTATTTGGCTTAGACTTTATGTACGAAGCCAAAGATTATGAGGAAATGTATTCCATGACTAAATTGATCTTATATTATAATAAAGTACTGATTTTTTATCTTCAATTGCCCAATATAATTTAATAATATGTTAATGTTCTATTCTTTTAAGGATGGATATTTCCCTTTTTACATTATTCATCTTTTGGGAATCATTCAGTTTTAGTTTTTCGTATATTTTTATAGCATACTTCTCCTTTGTATTTTTATCAACACCCAATCTAACCATTGCAAATGATCCTGACCCAAGTATTGTTTCCAATTTGAAATTTCCCATGATCAACTCTGGATTGCATAACTAATTTAAGTCTAAAGTTGTTTTGGGTTATTTTTAGGGTTAAGAACTCTTCTCAATTATTTACTATTAAGATTCTATTCTCTCTTTTTCTTTCTTCTCTTCAACTCGCTTGATTCTTGGGGCAACTCCTGATAATGCTGAGAACGGTCTCGGCTATGGTATTTTCTTGTTAATAGACGAGCTCCAATGTCTTTGTTGCAATTAATTTCCAGTATTTTAAGTAGTATTCAATGAAAAATGTTGCTCTTTTGAGGATTTCCATTGAGAACATTCTATGTATGATATTTAATTATACTGTTAATCTGGTTTTCAATATTTTTGAGAATGACATCAGCTTGCAATTTAATACTATTTAAATCGTAAATGTTAATGGCATCAGTTTTACTTTCTAAAGTTATAGAATTGGGAAGTTACATTTATTCTTTTCAACATTAGCTAAAAAGGATTGAGTAACCGAGTCATTCGATTCTGATTTGCTAAGTTTTATTTATTTTAACATATTGCTATTTTGAAAAATTAATAATGATAACGATAATCCAATTAATAAAAAAATAACAATTTTCTTATTTTAGTACCGAAAATAAATAAATAAAACCATTCATATTTAAAAACTATCAGATCTGGAAGAAAATATTCTCTCAACTAATTTATTTTAGGCTTTGTAATTAACAAAAGATTTGGAGGAATCCTTTTTAGAAACTGAAATTTAAGGCTGAGAGAAAATTCGATAAGGATCTTTGACCTTAATACTATGCTTTTTATCGTGACTATTCGAGGTTGTATAGAATTTTTAATTGCTTTATATTTGATTGAAACTTAAACTATTGCATTAAAGAAGATTAGATTTTTTGATTGTTTTGCATGATTCGTATTGTTAATGTAAAAGAGAATTTTGAGATTTCTTAATATTTTAATCAAAATTGTTGTTACTAAGGTTTGAAACATCTTTTTCACTTTTCTTTTTAATTTATTAAGTACTTTAGTAATTACATATATTTTCTTTATTAGAATCCTGAATAGAGTACATAGTTGTTTTTCTAGACAGAGCATTCTTTTGTAAAGGCTTAGTTAATTACAATAAAGATTTTATGGCTGCTAGATGTTACTGAGGTAAAGAGTTCTCTCTTCGCTTCTTGATATTTTACTACTAAGGTTTATCAATTGGGGGTTTAAAAAATTGAGCTGTCTATTAGAGGGGATCTTATTTTCCAAAACTCTATTCTAAAAAATTCATTCAAATTTAATTTATTTTTGTGTATTATTAACAATTATTTGATAAAAATATTTTAGAATTAGATTTTGTCATAAATCATATTTTGTTAAAAATCATTGAATATTCTCAAAATCCTCTATCTTTGACATAATCATATTCACTTTCACCACCGCCGAAACAGCAAAGGAGTTTAGAGAAGAATGATTTGCTCTTGAGTTTTTCTTCTTACTTACTCTTCTCAATTTGAAGAGTCATTTTATTGTAAAACTTTTCAGTTATTGTTTCCTAATCATATAGATCCTCATCTTTAATTTATTCATTATAATCAATCTTGGTTGCTTCCTCTGGGGGTAATTCCAGTATTTCTTCCAAATTCTATATACTTCCTTTCAAGACATCCACTTATTCTTTAATGATCTTGACCCACTGATCCTTTTATTCTGGAGTCTAAGCCTTAAACTTAAACTCTTGATCATCATTTGTGAAGATCTAATAAATGAATTATAAGTTACTTAGAAAGATCTACTCTTACCAATTACTTATTTAATGTAGATCAGCAAAACGTATTAATTTCCTTAAGAATCATCTTTAGCTGTCCAACTAAGAGAGTTCTTTTTTAACTATGCATTAACATTTATCCAAGACAAAGGTCCTTTAATAATTTTGCTTGATTATTTTTGAAGCGGTCCTTCGAAAATAATTTCTTCTTTCTTCTCCAACTGTTATGAATTCTTCAAGCTAGTCTTAGGTTTCTTTTTGACACATTAAATAGCCAAAATCCATTTTTAGATATCTGTGAGTTATTCTGAAAAGAATTAATAAACTCTTTAGTTATATTCAAAACTTAATCCGTAGGGCAACTATCCTGATGTCTTATCAATATATTATATGTCTTCAAGTTCAGAAATAGGGATTCTTGCAATGAAATTGCTTTTGTCACCTCTATCATCATAAGCAAAATAGTATATAGTGTCTAATTGGAAAGTGTCAGGGATGTCTGCCTAGGTAGGACCGACTTTATCTGTTTCCTATCCGGTAATGCAAACAGATGAAATCATGATGAACCATCTTTTCTTTGCTCTGGTGAAAGTGGTATTCTTGCCTTTCTTCATCAAAAATCCACAAATTATGAATTAGTCTTGGGTCTTAGCATCAAATTTAATCAGATATGGATATATGCCTTTGCATTTCATGACTTCATCATTTTTTATGTCAATCTTATTTGAGATTCTATCCAAATGATCTTTCTCCACTTCCAATTTTATTTTTGTTATTGTTTCTTTGTCCAACTCATCCCATTTTACCTTCTATTGAATAGGTTCATTATCGCCTTCTAATTGTTTGCGATATTCCTTCAGATACAAAATGCTTTCAACCCAAAATTCTCGTTGGGAAGCAGTCTCTGCTTTTAATTAGAACTAACGATCGCCGACCACCAAAATGAATTCTGTATCGGATCCCTTAACATTGGCAACTGTGGAAATGGAAGTCAAACTAAGGACACCTTAATTTCCTGCATGCGAGTACCTTGGGGCTTATCTTTAGAAGAAAGGGGCTTCTTCTTCCAATATATAAGATACTATCCTTCATTCCTCACAGAGAAGTAACGTTTCTGATACCCTTTCATCATGCTGGGACTACGTTTCTACAGCACTCCGTTTAATTGTAATGCTTTGGATAATTTATCATTCATTATTATAATTTATTCGCATGGAAACAGTTTCTCAACATATCACACAACTGAATCACAAAAATCAAGAACTTTCTGGCTTAGAAAATAGAATAAACTAATTGAAACAGTAGTTGAATCTGCAACAAGCCAATAACAATATATTGAAGACTAAAGTAGATAAGATAGTCCACTCAAAAAAACAAAAGTTTTATGACGAAATGAAGGTAACCTCATTGCTAAAAGGAATTAGTTGAAATAAATACTTCAAAGTAATACTTAAAATAATGACGAATTATAATATATGGTTCAAAGAAACAAAGCCCTATTGGATGAAGAACAAAGGCAATCCAAGTAGGATATGTTCGATGAAAAGTATCTTCAAACCCAAAAGATGAAATAGAAATTGGATCTGGAAATGCTAATAAATTAGAAGAAAAGGGATCAATAACTCTATGAGAAACAACAACAATACGCAAAAGTACTCGATAAATATATACAATAGATCTCAGAATGGGAATTCAATTTAAAATTCAACTTAAAATAAAGAGAAATAGACAAAATTGATAAAATTAGATTAGAAGAAAAAGAATTCAAAGAACAACTGGCTAAAAGAATGTAATAATAATAAAAGATTTGTGATTAATTGTCGAATGAAGAATAATAATTGATGAAGTACTTATGTGTATTAAAAATCTAGTAAATTAAAAAATTCCTAATAGTTTGAGCACTCCTTGAAACATGATCTCAAAACTGCTCTGAATCTGAGTATCAAGGATTATACAAATAATACTTCTGTGTCAATTCCTTCTTTATTCAAATCATATAGTTCTTCTAAAATACCATTAAATAGTCCTTATGCCTAGTTGCCAACAATGCTCAAGATGAAAAAGAGTGTATAACTTAATAAAACCAATAACAACAACGAATCTCTTATGAAAGAGTACAAATTTTCTCTCCCTTCACTTTATAAACCATCTGTTATTGAGCAATAACAATAAGTTGAAAGGCTATTTTAATCCAAAAGTGTAAAGAATAGTAAATCAGATTTGTATTAGATCTTAAATTATGGTGACTCTTAAGGTAAAATAGATAAGAAACCAAAGTTTCGAACTAATTAGAGTGAACTAATTTAAAATTAAGTAAGTAAATAGTTAATAAAGTAAAATACATAGATAACAGAAGAATAAGAATAGAATAAAGAATAATCAAATCAAGAAAATAAAAATAAAGAAGAAATAGATGCATCAAATCAAAATAAATAAGAAGAATAAGAGGAATATTAAGAATGATATATTATTTATTAAATTTTAATAACATTTCATATCATGTTTATAATCATTTAAGATCCTATTTTTAAAATCAGAGTTCAACTTCGATATTTAAGAAGATCTCTTCATACTTGGTCTTAAAATGATTTAAAATGATATAGTTATTTTTTTTGTCTCAATTTTCAATAAAATTGACTAGCTTTTTCATTGCCTTTTCTGCTGATTATGCTCCAAAAGGTCCATCTCCACCTAATTTAGAGTGAATTTTTTCAGATTTAGCATCATTTCTTGTCACAGTTATTTCCATTTCACCTGTTACCTTATCTTAGGACTTGCCTGTAACTTTGGCTTATGGATATAGTGATTTAATGTATTATTAGGCCAAGTTGTATTGGGACCAATATCCTCATCCACCACAATATGTAATATGAACTGAATAATTGTATAGGAAATACCTTTAAATTGTTTATCTTTAGAAGTTTTGAGTGTTTAAATATTCCCTGGTAATTTGATCATAATATAATTAAAATCTGTCTTTTTATAATATAAATTCACTTAAAAAGTTAAAAATTTTACAAAAAATATTTAATAAAGTGGTAGCATTTTGATTTTTTATAAACCATTGTAAATAGTATAGACTTGCAAAAATGAAATTATTCGTGATTTATATTGTAATGTGTAATGTATCAAGCTACAAGTATGCATGCTCCTCCTACTGCTTTGATTCTTCTCTCTGCAGTTTTGCTAAAGAACTTAGCTTTGACAACGACTGGTTAATTTGGAAGTCTGCCTTTTCCTAGGACTTTGAAATAACCAGCTTTGGTGACATCAATAACAGCAGCTTTGTCCTTTGATTTAGCATATTTTTCTCTGGTTTCATCAGTGACAAGTGACCATAATTTATCAATATTGACTACAGGTTTGTGGAGTGTGTTTTTTTTCAAATGGAAATGTCTCATACCGGTCTAGAGGAGGAATAGGAGTAGATGGGTACTTTTTGGAAATAACCTGGATGGTATTTATTGAAATTGATTCTATGATGTGTTAAACCTCCTGAAACACCTCTACCACTTGGATGTTTTCTGTGTTTGCCAACTCTACCGTAACCATGGCATACATGTCCTCTCATTTTTCTACACTTTCTCAATCTGCTGACCATTGTATTAAATTTTAAAAAAAAGATTTTAATATATGTTTAATGCCATGATTGAATATATAAATCGAATTAAATATGGAGGAGTGAGTATTGAGAAGTGCAGGAAAGTTCGAATAAATGAAGGAGGCAATCAAGGGCACAACGAGATTATTATTTAATATGATTAAATAAATAATTAAAAATGTAAAATGATGCCATCGATTATTTGACAATCTTCACATCATTAACAATATTCAAAGCATTTTGTTCAGGTGTGCATCGTTATAAGGTTAATCAGATGCCAACTTCACATTACGAAACCGTAAATATGTGATCATGATATTATGCTAGGAGTCAACTTTGGCTACTCTAATGAAAATTCAGATGTAATTCAATTTTCTACTCCTGCATTGCACCTTATTCTTTAAACACCTGGACAATGTTTAAGAAATAGGGAAATTCAACCTATTCTTATTGATTTCGACTTGCCTTTACGCTCTGACATTAATGCTGACGGATTACAGATGGCTCTTAAAAATATATAGATACGAGAATCATATCCTCAGAGAAGATTACCCTATAGTAGAGTTCTTAGGAATTCAAGTCTTTATGATGTTTGGATGTGCCCTGCTAATAACTATTTAATGGTTCACAATTCCAATCCTATCGGATCTTATGTATCAACTTCTATGCATTTACAAAATCCCATAAATCATTAAATGTCACCAACACAATCAAGTGCCCAACATCACTTATTTCTGCTTTCTCGAGGATTACTGCATTTTGATTTTTTTCTCGTACTATCGAGGTTGCCCCATCAACATCTTTAAACTTCAAGACAATTTGGGAATCTGCATAAGCGTAGCCGTTTTCATTTGCATTCAGCAGTGCATCTTACTCTATTAGTTTCATGTGAAACCCCAACTATATCAGACTAAGTCTCAAGTTGAGGAATTCACAAACGAAATTAGGGAACAAAACATTTATTCAAATTTTGATGATTTGAGCACTAACAACAACCTTGAATGCTCTATTTGTCTTCAAGGCATAGAAATCACTAATCCCTTATAAATTTAACTCAATCCTGAAGATCCAATCGTGTTGACTCGTTGTTCGCATAAGTTCCACGAGAGTTGTCTGATTGTTTGGCTCAAAGTCAAAAAGCAATGCCCAGTTTGCAGACACTAATTCTGAATTATTCCATTTTTTAGTTTTTACACAATATTTAATTCTCGATTATTTGAGAACGTTCATATTTACTATAATTTTATATGTAACATTTCATAATATTCAAGCCACAGTATGAATTAAGGTCCAAGTTAATAAAAATTCCCCAATTGAAGCTCCCAATCCTTCTGTGTATATTTCTGTATTCTCTATTCTATCCTCATCAATCTAATTAATCATTTTGCAGATCGTACTTATTTGTATTTGAAGACATAATAGTATGAAAATCCCATTGACAAAAACAGAAATCCCAAAATTGTCAAAATGCCTTACAAATGTAAAAAACCTGCTGTTAATCCCAGAAGGACAGAAACTATTTGTCTCACAAAAAAAAGTGCTGTTTTTATTTGATCTGGAGTGGCTTAGTCGTCTGTTGATAGAGAGAAACTCAAAAACTCACCTACAGACTAGAATCCTTCCTTTTTTAAAGGCATTCAATAATATAAATTAATTAAAAATTAATATAATATGGGAAAAATTATAATCGAATACCTGGAAGGCAAGAAAATATACGCTTGTAAACGATGCAATGTTCATCTTTCAAACCAAGATTACTTAACTTCTAAAGTAATACCATGAGATAGGTTTTAGCAATTCACAGGAAAGTCAGGAACAGCATTTCTATTTGAGAAAGGGTAAGAACTAACAATATTAAAGTGTGAACTATTAGACAGGGAAACCAGAAGAGAAAATGTTAAGAACTGGTTTACACACCACATAAGAAATAAAGTGCATTAAATGTTCAAACTACCTTGGATGGAAATATGTAAGCTCATGAATTACTATATTAAAAGCTTCATGCTTATGAGCAATCTGAGAAATACAAAGAAGGTAAAATCATCCTAGAAACACTATTTCTAACTAAAATTAAATGGTATTGATTGTCTAACTTTGCTAATCAATATTATAAATCAATTATAATTTATATAATGTCATTCCATTAAGGAGACTTCAAAATTTATTTTTAAGTTCTTTTTATATCTATGCATATTATCATACTGATTGATCTCTTTTAGACATAAATATAATTTTACATATATTCACTTAATCGAAAAAATTAACACTAATAATATAAATATTAATTAAATGAGTCGTGTGCACTCTAAATTTCAGAAAGAAATATTGTAATTTTATAGATCTGTGCTTAAATGGGCAAGTCTTAAACCAGAACCGGCTAAGTCTAGCATCATCTAGTATGCTTAGAATGAATACAGGAAGAATTAAAATATTCCGAAAAAGAAGTTTGATAGGGTAATATGTCCATAACATTATTTTAGATTGAATTTCTGTTTAGATAAGGAAAGAATAAGTTTGAGATATGGAAGGTAAATAATTTTAATATGATAAGGATGCAAAAATTGATTCAATATAAATAAAATGATGCATAGTATAAAAATTATAAAAATATCACGCTTTGGTTTTCTTAATTTTTTCTTACGCTTAACAAGGCTTTTCACATTCAGAATGTGTGCAATGGTGTCGTTTCACAAATTAGCTACAACACTTGCATACCTTTTCCTTTGATTCTCTTCGCTTCCTCATCTTTTCCTTCTACGAATCTGATTAACTATCCAATACAAAGTCATCTTCTTATGTCATTAAATCTCCTAGATTGACCTGAACAGGCAAATCAGCTATAAAAATAGATTTTAGTTTTTTGTAATACGTGAATTCTTAACTTTGATCACATCCAAAAGTTTGGTTATTTGATCATTTGGTAACCTTTCAAATATTTTAATCAAATCATCGCTCACCTTTCTTGATATCTTAATTGGCTCATTATCATCTACTAACTTTGGTTTTTTTTTTATTTAGTCATTTTCACTTTCACTATTTTGTTGATTCTGATGATCTTGTTCCCTTAAATCACAATCAGTTCTTACTTATACTTCTATTCAGAAGATTTGGAAGAAAACCCAGAAGAATCAGAATTGTCACACATCTTTAGTAATATAATTATATTAAATAAATAATTCAAATATTTCCTTTGCATTCTTAAGTTATTTATTAGTTTTTATTTTGACTTTTTTAATTCATAGTTATGAATTTAATTATCAAAATTAATTAAAATCCTAAACTAAAGTTCATAAATCATTTGATCAATTATTAAAATAAACTCAATATTGATTTTCTTCAAACTATTACCATAGGAAATATTCTATTATATTAAAATGATGAAATGTCAAATTTAGAAATAATCCATAGGACTATAATTTTGTCTATGAAGTGCTATATATTTCTATATTAATTTAAGTAGGCTGTTTGAGTTGAATAAAGTTCGATATCATTATAAATGCCTTTTTAAATATATTAGAAAAAACTAAGGATCCAAATATGATATGATGATGAGTGTATCTTTCCTTGTATCCTGTGATTGTTTTGAGGTTAATAAAAAAAGAGTGTCAAAGTGGAAATGAAAAATGAGATAATTAAAAATTCATTTTTCACTTTAATTTATATATAGGAGTTTAGTTTTTAACGATAATAATAATTTATTTAATATTAACAGAATGATCATCGAAAATTAAAGATGTTTTGGAAAGGAAATAGCAAATTCAAGTGTGCATCAATCCAAGGATATAGGTATGATCGTAGAAAAACATAAAAAACCCTTTTCCATAATTCCAAAGGTCTTTACTACAAGTTTGGATGATAAAGAAAATAAAATGTTTAGAAGAGAATCAGAAAAAATACCTATCGAAATAGAAATAGAGAAGAGTAAGGAGCATCTAAATCCATAAAAAGTAGAATTATATTCGAATGAAATTTTACAACACTTGCTGATTGAGGAAGTAATTATGTTAGACTATTTTAGAATAAATACACAATAAATTACTATATGACACCAGAGTAACAGCCAGACATCAATATTAAGATGAGAGCCATTCTAGTAGATTGGTTAGTCGATGTCCATGCTAAATTCAAGTTGAAGGATGAAACTCTTTACATCACAATTTCATTGATCGATCGATATTTGTCCTTGGCTCAAGTCACACGAATGAGATTGCAGTTGGTAGGTGTGGCAGCCTTGTTCATCGCTTGTAAATACGAAGAAATCTACCCTCCTGCATTAAAGGATTTCGTTTACATCACTGACAATGCATATGTGAAAAGTGATGTTCTGGAAATGGAAGGCTTAATGCTATAGGCATTAGATTTCAACATATGCAATCCCACTGCCTATTAATTTTTATAAAAATACTCAACGGACTTAGATCCGAAAAATAAAGCGTTAGCTTAATATATACTGGAATTGGCTTTAGTTGAATATAAATTTATTATATATAAACCATCTTTAATTGCTCAATCCGTTATATTTTTAGTTAACAAGATTAGGTAAGACTTTTATATTAATCATAGGACTCCGACTCATAAGACATAGAATGAGAATCAATTGAAGCCGTGTGCCAAAGAGTTATGCACATTACTTTAAACTGCGGATCTAAATTCTTTGTAAGCAGTCAGAAAGAAATTCAATGCTACTAAATTTTATGAGGTTTCGAGAATTAAGGTAGAAAAAACAAACAACTGATTTTAATTTAAAATGTCTTGTTTCTTTGGCTTTTACTCAAATTTTTAAAATTACAGTTATTCATTGTATATTAAATGCTTTAATTATAAAAATCATCTTGGGCCTAATCGAATTCGCCGAGACAATTTCAATAAAATAGCAGTCCTAGTTCTCCCTCCATGAAATCTGATTAGGTTTCAAGACAAGAAGAAATAGATGATTAATGGGATGTTATAGTGGAAGACAATTTTGTAAAGAAAGTGGGATCAAATCAGAATTAAAGATTTGAGAGTGATTTCACAGTTCAAGATCAAGACAAACGTACATTTAAGCATTAACTGAATAGGGAATATATTGCATCAAACTGCTCTTAGATAGGATGCTAAAATCCTCGAACTTTTAATTTAGGATTATCATAATCTGCTAAAAGAAAATAAGAAATAAGAAAGAGCCAAACTCTAAAGAAAAGTGTCATAAATTAAGAACAACGAAAATGAGGATGAAGAAATAATAGAAATAGACTTTGATTGTGAAGAATATGACTATCTAGAATTGTAAGATTAAGTAAAGAAGTACGTTCAATAGCCAGACATATTTGGATGCACTCCTATATAAATTTGCTGTTTTTTAAATGATCCCAAATACCATTAAAATAGATAGGAGTGTTTGAAAATCTTAATTGAAAATGGTTCAGATGTGAATGAAGCGAATCCTCATAACCTGTGGAGACCACTTCACTGGTGTTCATTTTATGGCGATGAAGCCAGTGTAAAACTCTTATTGTAAAATAAAGCCTTCTCATTTCTTTGTGATAATAACGGATTATATCCTATGGATTTGGCAGGCAAGAATCAACATTATCAAGTATTAGAATCCCTGATCGACAATATGGTTATCTTATTAAAAGATTGTCAATATTTTTGGAATGGAGAATTGATAGGAAAAAAAGAAGCTGAGTTTATTGAATTTTAGGAGATCTGTTCTCATTACGAAGCAGAACTATAAAATCCACTTATGTATACCAAAATCTTATTCTGGTGTTGCAAATTTAATTTCAACAAGTTCATCAAAATAATCCTACAACAATTGCCCAGAATTTATATTATGTTTCCGATTAAGTCCTTGGATTCATAAACTTGTCTGCACGCTTGCTGTTTCAGTAACAATGCTGAAGCTTTAAAGATGATAGTTAAATTTGAAATTTTGGATTTGTCAATGATGAAACCTGATCCAGCATAAACAAAAAAGCAATTAAAAAGAGAATAACGAAGAGAAGGAGTCCATTTTAAAATATTAAGCAATTATTTAGAATATATAACAAAAACTGAAGTTCCTGGGATTAATCAGATATTATCAAAGAAAGATACCTAAATCTACAAGGAAAGATATTATCATGAACTCTAGAGATATCTAGTGTAGGATTAAATTTATAAACAAGAACTAGCAAAAGTCAGCTTTATGCTCTTAAACCTCAAAGATCAAAAAGCTGACAATTCATTTTATGATTTAACAAAACAGACTTTTTGTAGGAATGTACTCAAAATCAATGTTAAAGATAATCATGGAAATACACCATTACATTTGGCGTCTTTAAATGGAGATCAAAATATTATTAAATTTCTTTTGAATAAATTTGCTGATCCAGAAGCTGAAAACTTTGAATTCTTTAGAGCTAAACAACTTACAAGGGATATTACTACTTAGTTATATTATGATGGATTAATTAAAAAATAGAAATATATGATAAGTTAGGCTTAATTATTAAGATCTATTGAACTTATATTCTAAAAACATAAGGAAAAAAGACAAAGGATTAGCACCAGTTTTGAGGATTAATATAATTTATCTGAAAATATTCAATAGAAGTCAAAATATTATAGAACCTAGTTGAAGATAAAAGGGAAAACATCAAAATCAAAAAAGAAATTATAAAATACCTCTCAAATAGAGTAGAGTGAATCGGCCAAAATCACAGAATTAAGAACTTCAAATGCAAAAGAAAATTCAAATCTAATTTAGAAACCAAAAAAGACTAAGAAAGTTACCAATAAAATTATTCCATTAAATCTTCAACCATCAACTTCAACTAAAAAATCAAAAGGTTCATATGATCATTATGAATAATTAATTCTATTTTCAAGTCAATTATTTGTTCCAGATATAGTGTTGAAATTTGATTAATCAGTCAAAGTTAACTTGATTGATTATTTTAAAAAATCATCCATGGTTGAATAAAGGAAGTTGATAGAATAATAAATCAATTTTTAAATAGATCTTTTATAAAAAGCTGAATTTGAAATCTATATGATGTTCTCATTTACTTCAAAAGATTACATTTACATTATGCTTAGAATTAAGGAAGATAAATTAGAAAGATTAGCTGAAGAAATGGAAATGCAAATAAAATTGATTGATTCTTATGATCTAGAATAATTTAAGATGAAACAAAGAAATAAATTTGAACCTTTTCGATCTAGTTAAAGATAGAAAATTGTTTATGAACATTTACTGAAATCAATAAATTTAGAATCATTAATGAAATCTAAATTAATAGACTCTTGTTATGCTATGCATACATCAGGAGGAATTTAAATAGTTAAAAAGGAATGGCAAAAATTATCATATGGAATCATTCCCTAACCAATCTGTTAGATAAAAGATTATTTAAGCGAAGGCAGTGGAAGGAACTTTACTTCTTTAACAACGATGAGATTGTACTTTGGAGAATAGATTTCCTTCTTTTTTGCCTGGATAAGCTACTTATCATGCATGTCATTGATAATTGGTATTCCAGGATTAATTCTATAAATTTATGTCATTTTATACGATTTCCACTCTGATATATTGCCATATTGGGTATTGATTGTAACTATATGGTCTACTGTATAAACAGAATTGTGGAAAAGAAAAACATCAGAAATCAATACAAGATGGGGTTGTATTGATTAAATGCTTCAAGCCGAATCTTCTTATTATGAGGGTCCTCTGAAGGATAAATTCTCAGGTGATGAAGAAATAAATAATATCACCAAGAGATTAACAAAGCATTAATAAATTACTAAATTGGCAGTTTACTTTGTTATCTTTTTGATTTTATTAGCTGTTTTTCTATTGGGAAGTTTTGGAATAGTCTACGGAATTGATAAACTAAGGAAAGAGGTATAGTCATACAAAGGAGTAGTATTTTTACTAGGTGCTCTATAAGCTATTGCAATCTAAGTATTAAATATTTTATTTCATTATTTCTCTAAATGGTATGCTGATGTAGAAAATCATAAATTTGAATTAAGTTACGAAAAATCTTTAATTTATAAGAATGTATTCTTTAGATTCATAAATTCATACATGCCTCTGATGTACATTATAGTTACTAGTAATGATTATAATTTAGAAGATATTTTTTATTTTCTTATTCCCCTTGTATTAGTAAA